CCCAAAAAAGCTCTCAGTTGTTGGGTATTTTCAGGTTTGGGTGCTTCTTTAATGGCTTTTGTTTTCTCAGGTTGAGGTCTGATACCTTGCTTGCTTAAAATATAACCAAGAAAACTAATTTCTGTCAGCATGAATTGACATTTATCTTTGTTTATCTTTAAACCTTTTTCACCAACTATTTTCAAAACTTTATCTAGTGTTTTAAGATGTTCAGTGTCATTCTTACCAGTTATGTACACATTGTCAAAGTAAACACAAACATTTGGAATATCCTTAAAAATACTGTCCATGACAGCTTGGAAAATTCCAGGGCTGGATGATATACCAAAACATAGTCTTTCATATTGGTAGAGTCCTTTATGTGTGTTTATTGTCGTATAGACTTTTGAATCTGGATGCAGTTCTAGTTGAGTGTAAGCATGACTAAAGTCTAATTCAGTGAATTTGTCTCCTCCTGCCAAATTCAAAGAAATTTCCTCAATGTTAGGAATAGGGTACCTATTTAGCTCTATTTGCTTATTCAGTGGACTTTATAGTCTCCACAAATTCTTACAGAACCATCCTTCTTTAACACTGGCACAATGGGCGTTGCCCAATCGGAATAGTCTACCTTCTTTATGATGCCATTAGATTCCAATCTACTTAGCTCATTTTTAACTTTATCCCTCATTGCATAAGGTGGAACTCTAGCTTTGCAGTATCTTGGATTTGTGTCTTTAATGCTTATCTTTACTGTTCTATCATTTAGTAATCCAGGATTACCAAAAACACTTTCATTTTCAGATATAACTTTATCTATTGAAGTAAGACTAGATTCTCTTGCATTGTTCAATGAACATATACTCTCCCAATTTAACTTAAGATCAACTAACCAGTTCCTACCTAGTAATGGTGGTCCATTTCCTTCAACCACAAGAAGAGGAAGTTTAACACTTTGACCATTATAACTTACATGAACCATACACTCTCCTCTTACCGGAACATTGTCACCAGTGTATGTTGTTAGACACTTGTGACATGGTTGTAGAGGCACTGATCCTCCTGTGACAGCGTCAAAGTCCTTCTTTGTGATGACTGTTAGAGATGCTCCAGTGTCAAGTTGGAAGCTGATGCTCTTACCGTTGATATTAACTAGTACATTGATGGGAGCATGACTTATTGATTTCACAGAGAACAGGTTGAAATCCGGCTGCGAGTCAGTTTGAGCATTTTCACAGGTAGAGTGGTTCATTGGTTGGGTTAGGTAGTCTTGGTGAGAGTTAACATAGTGCTGCCTTTGGTTGCGGTACTGTCTTGACTGGCTAGATTTAGCAACAGACGAAGACTTTGCAAAGCAGGCCTTAGCAACGTGACCTTGCTTACTGCACTTATAACAAGTTGCTAACTTGAACTTGCATCGATGAGATGCATGGGGACCTTTGCATCGATGACATTTTTGATCATTATTACTAGATTTAGATCTAGGCTTTAAACGTGCAGGCTGTTTAGCATAAGTTGAAATGCTCTGATGGGGTTGGTGTTTGTTGACTAACCTGCTGTTTACTGCATGGATCTCTGATGACGTTAGAGATCTCGCCGCCTCGGATGACTGCTGGAATGAAGTTGCAAGTTGTATTGCTTTTTCTAATGTGAGATCTGACTCGAGCAGCAACTTTCTTTGAACATCAGGACTGTTTACACCTGTCACAAACTTTTCACATAGTCTGTCAGACAGCGTATCGCCGAATTCACAGAATCTACTTAAATGACGTAAAGCAGCAACATATTCTGATATTGACTCGTTTGGTTGACGAGTCCTACCGTCAAATCCAGCTCGACATAGAAACTTTGATGGGGCAGGCACATGGTGGTCTGTTAGCAATTTGCTCAGCTCGTTAAAGCTCTTGGTAGTTAGACTAGCTGGTGCGCATAAGTCCTTTAATAGCCTAAATTGTTGAGGCCCTATGACTGTTAACAAAACAGCTCTCTTTTTGGCTTCTATCGTCACGTCGTTAGCTTCAAGGTAAAAGCTTAACCTATCTAGATAATCATGAATGATTTCATCATTCGAATCAAATTCTTTTATTTGGCCATACAGCGCCATTTTCCTAGAAATACTTAGCCAATATGCTCTAGCAAACCTCTTTTTTGAGTAAGTAGGTGCTCTTTCTAGTGGATTATTTATCCTCGTCGCCAATGTGATAGATTATGAATACAACGGAGACAGAAGCCATCAGCATGAAGCCATCTTTATTATTTGTTAACCGGAAGAGGAAGAACAACATATAAGAGACATCACTCATAATAACAACATTATAAATATAACTAATACAAGAAGAGTGAGTTCCCTTGACCTCACAATTATCTCAATATATTACAGTATGTGTGTGTTGAGTTCAAAAGTTTGTGTTTGTGACATATACTTTTATAGATATAACCTCTCAAACATGGAACTTTTTAGGATGTTGAAAAAAAAAAATTAAAAACCAATTTTTTAAAACGCCATAACTTTTTTACTACTTGAGATACATGAACAAATGCAGTGCACACTATCTTAGAATCATGAGTTCTTGACATAGCAACTTTCAAAAAAGCTTTGGGACCGTTTTAAAAAATCAGTTTGACACCCCTACTACAATGTCTAATCTGTCTTCCACGAAATTGAAGTCCCCGGCCAAAATAATGTCATGTTGGTTGTATCTGTTAGTTAATAATTGTTCCGGGTTTTCATAAAATTTACTGTCTTTGGGTCTATGTGGTCCGTGTACATTGACTATGCTTAGTTTTCCCCCTTGTCGCTCGATTGTAACTATTGCTAATTTTCCTTCAGAGTCGGCGTGCTTATCTGTTATGTTGAACTTGTTTGATGTGTTAAAAATTGTTGACCCACTACCCGTGATCAGTGAACTGTAGCTGTGGTGTGCTTGAGTTAACCCTAAGTTGTGAGTGAATTTGTCTGCAGTGAATTTATTTTTGTAGTTAGTTTCTTGTAGTAAAATGAAGTCAGGTTTATGTTTGTCGATTAATTGTCTTACGTACTTGCCTTTGTATTTTGTGCTTTGTATGTTGAGGGTTATAATTGTGAGGTTACTTACACTGCTTTTAATACCTGGTCCGCCTTAGTCTGTTTTGGGATTAGTGAATTGGGTGTAAAAGTTTTCCTTTTTGTTGTGGTCCTGTCCTTTGTGGTTGGACGTGTTGGGGTTGGTCGTGTAGGGCTCTGATTTTTAAGATTTATACGTATATTTTGTATGTAAAATGCTTGTGATCGAGGATTAAAAAGAAATATAAGAAAAAATGATACTTCTATTGCCTCAAGTGTTAAATGTCAAAGGTACTCATTGTCTAAATTTATGGCTTAAAAAATTTAAACTGAAAGTATTGTAAAACAATTTTCATTTTTCAAACTTACGATAATAATTGCCAGCATGTTCATTTCACAAAATTTTAAAAAGATATCATCATTTTCAAAATTTTAATTATGTTTGAAAATTATTTATATTTAGTCCTTTAGCACTTATTACTTCCCTTGATAAATTAGGAAAACGCAAATACTTTCCTTAAAAAACATTACATCGGGTGAAAGAATTTACTTTTTTACTTTGTTTTGGTGTTGGGAAAAAATAATTACATAACTAGCGGGGATCGATCAAGTGCAATGTGGTAGGTATTTTTTAATACCGCCTTTTATTTATTCTATACACTGAACGTACTGTGTACTAATTATTTTATAAATCAATAACAGTTAATAAGCCAGGTCCTACATGTCCTATATGTTTATTTCTTTCCGTTAACGGATAAGCTTTGAGTATTATAATTATTCACTAAATTGAAACAGGCGCTCCCGCCGGCGCCCCACTAGGGTTCAATTTGGTGCCCTGGGCTTTGGTGCATAATTTTGCTTTAAACGGTACGATAGACTATGGATAATAAAGGTTACTATAATCTTTAAGTGAATCGAATACGGGCATCCTCCGGAGCCCAGACAGGTATTTTTAATACCGTATTTTAATTATTCTATACACTGAACGTACTGTTTTCTTCTTATTATTTTTAATCAAAGACAGTTGAAGTAACAAATTACATCTTTATTCGGGAACGGGAATTCCTGCAGGTTATTATTTCTGTCTTTGTTCGCGTTTTCGTTTGTGTCTGGCCTTGTTTGCGCACGAAGGAGTTCGCTTTTGTCGGTCTCACCAGAAAGCTCTTTTATAGACACCTGCACCAAACTACAAGAAGATATACGATTTTATATAATACTAGCCATACCGGTTTGTGTTGTGTTTGTATTGAGTCGTGTTGTTTTGTGTTTGTGTTGTGTTTATGTTGTGTTTGTGTTGTGTTTGTGTTGTGTTTGTATTGTGTTTGTGTTGTGAATGTGTTGTGTTTGCGTTGTGTTGTGTTTTTAGTGTGTTTGTGTTGTGATTGTGTTGTGTTTGTGTTGTGTTTGTGTTGTGTTTGTGTTGTTTTTGTGTAGTGTTTGTATTGTGTTTGTGTTGTGAATGTGTTGTGTTTGCGTTGTGTTGTGTTTTTAGTGTGTTGTGTTGTGTTTGTGTTGTGTTTGTATTGTGTTTGTGTCGTGTTTGTATTGTGTTTGTGTTGTGATTGTGTTGTGATTGTGTTGTGAATGTGTTGCGTTTATGTTGTGTTTATGTTGTGTTTGTGTTTTGTTTGTATTGTGTTTGTATTACGTTGTATTGTGTTTGTGTTGTGATTGTGTTGTGATTGTGATTGTGTTGTGATTGTGTTTGCGTTGTGTTGTGTTTTTAGTGTGTTGTGTTGTGTTTGTGTTGTGTTTGTATTGTGTTTGTATTGTGTTTGTGTTGTGTTTGTGTCGTGTTTGTATTGTGATTTTGTTGAGTTTGTGTTTAGGGGGGGGGGGGGCAATTCCGGGATATATGCTGATTACTAAATACACATGTCATGGTTCTTTACAGATAGGTTTCTCACCAAGGCCAGTGCAGGGCCTTGCCGGGACGGCTAGTAAACTTATATAATATGAATTTATATATTGTGTTTAGGAACAGAAATTTTCCTTCCGCAAAACAAAAAAAGATGGCATTGTTACATTTGAAGTTGATGCAATAAAAATAGTAAACGGGACAATTTCGGAAAAATGGTACACACCTGAAAAGAAGTAAGTCTTTTTAATATATACATATATATATATATATATATATATATATATATATATATATATATATATATATATATATATATATATATATATGAATGCTGCGTCGTATTTTTTTACTCTGCCTTTTTTATTTAAAAAAAAAACTAAAATATACTATTTTGCAATTTAAAACAAGTACATCAACAGCACTATACTTTATACTAGCTGCATCCCGTGCTCCGCCACGGTAAATCTTTTTTAAATGTACCAACTTGGGAACAGAACAAAACTAAATACAACACAAACGAACGCAAAAAAAAAAACACAAACGAAAAAATAAACACAACACTCATAACATAAACACAATTTAAATGCAATCATATAGGCATATTGCTCACAGTCTAGCCCGTAGCACCAAATCGCGCCCTTTCCGGTTATTTGCATCCCCTCAAACTTTCGATTTGCACCCCTGTCCCCCGCCCTAAAACTTTCGATTTCCACCCCCCCCCCTCGCGCAAATTTTTTCAACCCACTTTGGCGCCTCTAAGGTCGGCACCCGTGGACATATGCCCCCCCCCCCCTCGCTACGCCTCTCCTATAAAACCCCTAGCTTGTCCGCAAATCCGCAAACCGAATGATAGAATAATAATTAGTAAACAGTATAAATAATAGGCAGTATTTAAAATATTTAAAGGGATAAACAGAGTATCCTGAGTAGAGGTTATTTTTTTTTTAATTCATTAGGTTGTTAAGACAAACTAGGTCTACTCCGATAGTTATTAATCAATCTAATATATAAAGCTCAGTTCTGTATGTAAAACATATGTTTGTCGTTGGTCTTCGATAGATTTAAGTGTTAGACAATTAGCGTGCGCATTTGTCTAAATTTATGAGTTAAAAAATTACTATTGAAAGTGTTGGGAAATAATTTTCATTTTTCAAATTATAGTAATAATTGTCGGCATGTTCATTAAACACAAGTTTTTAAAAAATATCATCTTTTACAAAAATTCTAATTATGTCTTTATTTAGTCCTATAGCACTTACTTCCCTTTGATAAATTAGGAAAACACAATTACTTCCCTTTATAAAACCATTGCATTAGTGGAAAAGAATTTACTTTTTATTACTTTATTTTGGTGTTGGGAAAAAAAATAATTACATAATTAGCGGGGATTGATCAAGTGCAAATGTTGTAGGTATTTTACGGATAAGCTTGGAGTATTAAAATTGTTCATTAAATTGAAACAGGCGCGTTCGTTTAAGTGAGTGCAAAAGACTGTGAATAAGTTGGGGTACTATAGTCGTTCATTAAGCTAAAACAGGTGATTCCGCTCCGGGCGTTTATGTTCGCGTTAGTGTTTTCTTTGTGTTTAGGTGGGTTTGCGTTAGTGGTTGCGTTTTGATTTGGTTCGTTTTTGTTCTTCCTTTTTTCGTTTTTGTTTGTGTTTTTTTTTTGTTTGGGTTTGTATTTGTGTTTTTGGTTGGTTTTGCGTTTGGATTTGGTTTGTTTTCGTTTGCTTTTTCGTTGTTTTTTTTTTTGTTGGTATTGGTGTTTGTGGTTGGGTTTGTTGTTAGGTTTTTGTTTTCGTTAGCTTTTTTGTTTGTTTTTTCTTTGTGTTTGTATTAGTGTTTGTGGTTGTGGTTGGGTTTGTTGTTAGGTTTTTGTTTTCGTTTGTATTTGCAATTGTGTTAGCGTTATGTTTGCGTTTTGTTGTTTTGGTTGGTTGTGGTTTGGGTGGGCAATGCCGGGTTTATGATGACTACTAAACACACAGGTAATGGTCTTTAACAGAAAGGTTTTTCACAGAAGCCAGAGCAGGGCCTGGCCGGGACGGCTAGTAGTAATATAAAGTGTAAAGCTTTAAATAAAGAACTATGTAGTTAAATGCTAGAGGTTTTCACTTTATACTGGAGTATAATACCATTGCGGATATCTATATTATGTAAAGAATATACATAAGTGCATACTCATTTTTAACAATAAAATTAGACATTTTTATGTTTTTATGTATTTCACTAAAATTGATTTTCTTTCAATTGACATCAGCTGTACATTAATCTATGCCTACTAGATAAATGGCCCGCTTAGGGAGAGATACAACGGAAGCTAGGTTGAGAAAAAAACAACCTATCAAACTAGTGCCCGTTGTATCTCTCCCTCCACGGGCCATTTATCTCGTCCTATATTAATAGTTTTGCTGTCTGTGTATCTATATATCTGTTGGGAACACTTTTACTATCGAGAAAACACAAGAAAAGATAAAACATGCATAGTAATATGGATAACGAAACGTGACGTCACATGGAACATATTGTAGAAAATAGTCTAAAGCCGAAAAAGCACACACAATAATATGATGTCATTTATTCTCGCGTAAACAATGAATACAAAAGCAATTGCTCAAAATAAAAACACAATAGTAGTGTAGATGTAGATGTAGATGTGGATGTGGATGAAGATGGAGATGGAGATGGAGATGGAGATGGAGATGGAGATGGAAATGTGGATGTGGATGTGGATGTGGATGTGGATTTGGGTGTCGGTGTAGGTGTAGGTGTATGCGTAGGTGTAGGCGTAGGTGTAGGCGTATGTGTAGGTGTAGGTGTAGGTGTAGGTGTAGGTGTAGGTGTAGGTGTTGGTGTTGGTGTTGGTGTAGGTGTTGGTGTAGGTGTAGGTGTACACCCGCATGGAAGCCAATATTACTACCAACTTAGCTATCTAAACTTGTGACATCATTGACGTTTTTTTTAGCTATATTCTTTGAGTCTCCTTATGAAACTTGATTTACGCGCATAGGTCCTAAATCTAGATCTAATATCTTTCAAATTAAATTTTAACTTAAATTAGCCAATTGTATAGCTAAACAAACAAAGATTTATATAAAATAATGAAGGTCAGAAATAGTTCAGAATAGAAACTCATTATTATCTAGATCGAGATAAATTTATCTAGATTCTACGTCTGGTTTGAATAAGTCTAGTTTTTGCCGTAACTCTTGCTAGATCTAGATTTCTAGATCTAGATCTAAGGATTCTAGATCTAGAAATTCTAGATCTATACCCTAGATAGATAAATTACTTGTATTCTTGAAGCTAAAAAAGCAAAGATTTATATTAAGTATTTAAGGATTAAAATAGTTTATTAAAGAAACTCAAAAATGTATTCTGATTTTAAAATGAATTGTCTTTTTTAACTAATTATGATTGTTTGACCTAGATTCTAGATCTTATTCTATAAATAACTTTCTTCTACAGCTGATTTTTTAGATGCTAGATATAGTCCAGATTTATTTTATAATTAAATGAAAAAGATTGTTTAAAATTGATATAAGCATTGGAACGTAATAAAAACAGCAAACGGACGTATCATTAAAGCTATAGCCGACAGAAAATTAGCTTTAGAACGCGTTAAGGATCTGAATTGGCAACACAATCTTCGATAGAACCGCCATTGTTGTTTTAAAAAGTAAATAAATCATGTGACGTCACTATTCACTCGGGGGTCATCCATATATAACATCACGTCACAGGTGATCTTTTTAAAAGTTCTATTAATTTTAATGACACCGATTTAAAATTTAGCCTTCATTCTCCAAAGCAAATTTTAAAATGCTTTTCTGACATATCTAGCCCTGGCCACCTATAGCATGTTTATATAACGTGAAAACCCGCCATTTTGCTCGTGGTAAATATAGCCTAAAAATTTTCTGAAGTCATGCGTCCGGTGCGGGCGCCATTGTTGTTAGCAACCGACCACGCCTCCAAGTTAGTGAGTAATCCTACTATATCTAGATCTAGAACCTAGATAGATAAATCCCATGTATTCTCGAATTAGATGTTCGTTGAAGCTAAACAAAGATTTATATAAAATAATTAAGGCCTAAAATAGATTCTAGATGTAGAATTTACGTAAATTCTAGTGCCCTAGATCTAGATCTAGATTCATAACTTGAACTTGACGCTTGTTCTTCCTTCGACAGCTGATCTGTAGATCTAGAGAAATTTATCGTAAAACTAAATGAAAAAGACCGTTGAAAATTGATGTAAGTGTTGGAACGTAATAAATACAGCAAACGGACGTATTGTTAAAATATCATAGCCGACAGAAAATTAGCTTTAGAACGCGTTAAACTTTTGAATGGGCCACAAAGTCTATGATGGAAGCCGCCATCTTATTGTGCTAAAAAATTAAACAAATAATGTGCCGTCACTATTCAGTCAAGTCAAGTCGTTTTTCTAATCTTTTAAAATTAATGTGGTTAATCTACCTATGAATAAATCAATAAATTAATTAAATTAATTAACGCCTTTAAATAAATTTGTGATTAACAGTCTGTCTGAAAACAAAAATTGTTCTCTACCTACATACTATTTTACAGCTCTCCACAAGGAGCAGATTTTCTCCAGTAGCAAATCAGACAAACAAAAAAATAAATAAATAAATAAACAAAAAAATAAACAAAAAAATAAATATTCAAACATGTAAACAAACTTGAGTTTTAGTAGTATATAGATAGATAGATAGATAGATAACAATTGTAATACTGTACATACATTTTAGCCTAACTGCTGGAGTTTTGCCAGAAAACTGGACTGCCAACATGGCTAGTGAATCTACAGAAGAATTTCTATATAGTCGTTTGGGTAACGCTAATGATCAATTCATATACAGAACAACAGAGTGGGTAAGAGGCTGAATTTTATACTTTATGCATACTTAATCGCATTATTTTTATGCAATTAAAAATAAAGCAGGAGTGATCTCTACTAAACTTTAACATATTTTCACATGTAACAGTATGGGGAATAGCACTTTCAGTGCATTTGGACTACAAGGCACTTGCTTACCTTTTGCCTGAGAATTCACATTGAAGTGAAGATTTATTAAAATATGCTTTTTGAGAAAATTACAAAAATGAGCATATTTCAATGATTTGTTAGAGATTGCAAATAAAGCTAAATATACCATTTTAAATCAGTAATTTTCCATTATATCATACATAGAAAAGAATCGTGCAGAAAAAAAAATTCTATCTAAAAGTGATTTAAAATTACTATTCTTATGATTTTTGAGTAATTTGAAATGGTATAAAGTCAAGAAAATAAACTCATGCTTATCAATGCAATTCTGTCCACATACCTGGAAAGATAATTATGATGTCGGTCTTTTAAAAAACCAGAAAGGAGGTAAAGAACCATTTCTGGTTATTGGAGAATACTAAAAACATGAAAGTAATCAAAGTATAAGCTCTTACATTTCGTCAACATAATTGAAATAGTACTCAAGTTATCGCGATCGTCCGGAAATGTAGTAAAGAATAAGTTCCGGTTACCGAAAATCGTTCAACAGTTGATAGAAGCCTGCGCATACAATTTAATAATTAAATATGATATTTTGTCCATCAAGGTTTATTCAGGTTATTGGCTTTTGAGTAACCACTTTTTTTCCGGAAATTGTCCAAAAGTTGAAAGAAAGCAAAAAACGCAATGAAGTACTAATATATGAAATATCGTCTACATAACAAAAATGATATTCAAATTATCGTGTTTATTGTAATATAGACAAACAAGACTGACATACAAGATTAATACAAAATTTCGGCTCCTGTGGTTTTAAAACATTAGGATTTTTTTTGGAAAAAAAAAAACATTTTCTTTTTTTTTCTTTTTTTTTTTTGCACAATTATAATACACCGTGCATATTCGTCTAAAAGAAAAACAAAGAAAATTTACATTTTTATGACCCTGGACTTCGAATGGACATTGTGGTTTGACAAAGAGCTGGCATATTGTTGGACTATTTACTTATAGCTTTTAAAACCGGTACATGATTATTTAAAATGTGGAGGAAATGCAGATAATTTGTTTTTTTATAACACGATGTATTGTTGATTTGACTGTATGTGTGTAGTAGTAACAGTTGTGGTTTCGTTTTTACACCAGACGGTAATACTTAACTGCAGTGGATATTTTTGGACGTTTCCAGATGGAACTACGGTTGAACTGTTAAAGCTAAGCTATGTGTATGATTTCACTTTTCCTTCAATACTTAATCCAGCAAGTTATACATCATTATAGGTGTATCAATTCATTACCTGTATATTGCTTGGTTAAATTTAGAGCAGTTTATATAACTTAAAATCATTATCATTAAAATCATTATTTAGATCTTACAAGGAGTTTATTTCCAAAGGACAAATAAATGTTTTGCGATCTCTGTGTCTTTGTCAGAGGAACGAGTTTTAAAATGTATCAACTGTCAAAAAAATATATTCTCATATTTTTTTATCTGAATAAAATCCATGATGTCAGAATCATCTTACAGTACTTTAAGGTAAAAATATGTTCTAGCAGAAAAAAACTATTATCCTCTTTCATCATTAATGTCTTTCTTTTCAAAGGACTGACTGGCCAGCGAGCTTCAACCATGTTCTAAGACCGCAAAAGCCTTGTCGTTACTGATTGATGTATTGAACATCAGTCTATCATGGAAGCTGCTACAAATTACACAAGTTCATAGAAACTGAAAACATATTTTAAATTCTCAAGAGTATAATATCTTTTTTTCAAATGATCCGACGTAAGGTCGTCGGCAGAAATAAAACTAGAAAAAATTAAAATTAAAAAACACCTGGCAGTGTAAGTGAAAATAAAGAAATGTGTGTTTGTCTTGTTCTATGATAAATAAATTCTTTTAAAAATATCAGAAATAGTTGGGTTTTTTTTTTTTTAATTTATGTTGCGTAGTTCGGCCTTCACAAAACAGTACAGCTAAAAGTAACAAATACATAAACGATCATAATAACACATTGAGTTTATAACACAGATGTGAAATTAAAAGACTTAATACTTCATCACAATATTAAAACACGTTAGATCTTAAATAAGGATGACTGTTGAATAAACAATCAAGTACCATAGAACATCATTTTTGATGGGTATAGGCCAGAGAATTCGCAGGATCTTTCTGAGGCATGAGTTTATACATGATTGTATTTTCTTCTTATTTATAGAAGTTATTCTCCATGTAAAAAATGTTTGGGGTTCGGGAGATTTAACCCTTAGAATAAAAATCCGGATCTTCAACACACTAGTAAAACCTGTTTTACTCTATGGAGACGAGACATGGAGAATAACTGCTATAAATAAGAAGAAAATACAATCATTTATAAACGCATGTCTCAGAAAGATCCTGCGAATTCGCTGGCCTAAAACCATCAGAAATGATGTTCTATGGCAACGGACAAATCAACTGCCAGTGGAAGTAGAGATCCTCCAGAGAAAATGGAAATGGATTGGCCACACACTCAGGAAGCCTGTATCCAGCATAACAAGACAGGCCCTCACCTGGAATCCACAAGGCAGGAGGAAGAGAGGCAGACCAAGAAAGACCTGGAGACGTGACCTGGAAGAAGACACCAAGAAGATTGGATACACCTGGGGACAGTTGGAGAGACTAGCCCTGGACAGAGACGTCTGGAAAGCTCTTGTCAGCGGCCTATGTCCCAGTAGGGACGACAGGCAAACATGACATGACATGACATGATTCTCCATGACTCAGCTCCTTAGATTAAAACAGGTTTTACTGGTGGGGTTAGGCTGGGTATAGTAATGGTCTGGGAAATATTTCTCAGCAGATGAGACTGGGTGTGTACTCTGCTATTTAAGGACAGTGCCCGGACAGTACAGGACAGTGCAGGCTTAGACTACGAAGGAAATGGACGTACCTCGTGAGATGGTGACATTCGGGCACTTGTCGCATTCGGGCAAGTGCTCATTCGGGTATTTTTTGCATTCGGGCAAATGTCCATTCGGAATATCGGCATTTGGGCAAGTCTCTCTCTCTCTCTCTCTCTCTCTCTCTCTCTCTCTCTATATATATATATATATATATATATATATATATATATATATATATATATATATATATATATATAATTAATAAAGATTTAATAATTACTGTGTATGATTGACGTTCCCTAAAACGTTACTCAACGCCATTTAGGATGCGTTACCCTTTTATAGAAGATGAGTAATGTCATCAACACATCAACAATAATAATCATTTAAAAAGTTTTAAAAAACCCACGTTTTCTGATTGAACTAAAAAGTAGAAAATGAATACTATACATCACAATAATGCAAGCGATCACTCTACTATAAGCGATGAAAAACGTGGGGCGCCGAAGTAAAAGTTATATTACTATTGATTAGATAATACTATTGACTTTTATTAGGGAGTTTGTAGAGAGTCAACAGTATTAGAAACTGTAAGAAAATGATTATTATTTTCTACTTTTTAGTCTTTGTCTGTTTGTTTGCATTGAAATCTTGCTATCGATTTTATCTTTTCACTTTTTTTTGGGTAAACGAAGACAACTCGTAAAAAGACAACTCGTAAAAAACGAGAGACCCTTTCTTCTTCGGTCTCAATCGCAAGTGAATGATTGTCAGAGGTTAGTTGATAGCGGTTAGGACGAGGGCTGGTTACTGACTAGAACACATAGATTTGAACCCGTGTCGAGTGGGATAGCAATCGTGTGCCCAACGACTCGACCATATCGTCTCCCCCAAACTGGCCACCAGTGGTAATAGTTAGCTCCTGTAAGTTTAAAGTCGGTTCAAACTAAATTATCTGCCCCTAAGCCTGTCGCGACGTGGGATCGTTCGCTTCACTATATATATTCTATGGTCATCCAAAAGAAAGCTTCCCTGAAAATTTCAGCGCGCTAGCTAACTGGGAAGTGCCAGAAATTTCGATCGCAAGATTTGATTGGAAAAACAAACAAACAAACAGAGAAAGCAAGTTAAAGAAAACGTGGGAAAAATGTAAGTTTGGAGGGTCGTTTGTAGCACGCGCTAATTTGATAGGCCAGTCTTTTTGTTCTATCGTTAGAAGAGTCTCTGTTATGATGTTACATAGTTGTATAATAAGTTTGTTAGACTAAGGTCATACAAGTGACACACTAGCTTATTATCATCAAACATTTATCGCAGTGTTTCTTTCAGACTTTTTTCTCCAGGGGCGTGGGGAGGCACTTAAACTTTTCCGGGGGAGGGGGTGGTTGTGGGGCTGACACAATTGAAAGTATTTTATTTCTATCAAAATCCTAGTTCAATAGGGAGCAGGGGGTGGCGGTAGAACTTCTACGAGGGGAGGCAGAGATGCCTGAAAGAAAATCTGATTTTGCACATTTGAATTTGAATACGACATGTGTTATTTCGTTTACTGGCGGATTGTATAGTGAAGCAAGCTAGCGGAAACGAACTGGAATCCAATGGGCATAACAGTTCGAACTCTTAGATTTCGAAAATGTGCGCAGTGTTTCTTCCAGACTTTTTTCTCCGGCGGGGGGGGGGGGGGGGCACTTGAAATTTTCGGGGGGGGGGGGGCTGTCAAAACTTGGGGGGGGGGCGCGGACACTAGCAAAAGTGTATGTTAACTATATAAATTCCATCTCGTTCGGGGGCGGTAGACTTACTTCGGGGAGGCAGAATATACCCGGCATTGCCCGGGCCTAGGTAATATATTACTTTTCGAATTAACCTTAACCACAACCAACCAAAACCAAAACACAAAAACAAATGCAATCATAACGCAAACACAAATGCAAACAAAAACACAAACAAAAACGCAAATACAAACGCAAACGCAAAATTAAACGCAAAACAATAACGCATAACATAAACACAAACTTAAATGCAAACATAAACGCATACGGCTTACAATGTTGCCCAGGGCGCCAAATCGTACCATGCATGCGCGCCGGCGGAACCGCCTGACTCAACTAAGTGAACGACTATAATACCATAACTTATCTTTAGTCTATTGCACTCACTAAAACGAACGTAGTCGCCATAGCGTTTACGGGAAGGCCCGGGGCGCCAAATAGTACTCTGTCGAGGCGCCGGCGGATGCGCCTAATTCAATTTAGTGAACGACTATAATACCCCTAGCTTGTCCGCAAACCGAAAGATAGAAGTAAACATACAGGACATTTAGGATCGGCTTCATAAACTGTTATTTATTAAAAATAATAATAATTAGTAAACAGTACGTTCAGTTTATAAAATACATAAAAGGCAGTATTTAAAATATACGTGTTTTACCTACAGGATTGCACTTTATCAATCCATGCTAATTATGTAATAATTTTTTTCCATCACCAAAACAAACAAATAAAAAGAATTTTTTCCCGCGATGTAATGTTTTTTTAAAGGGAAGTAATATCAAAGTAAAGGGGGGGGGGGGGCATAAAAACGTTTTACTAACAAGCATTTATAAGAAGCGTGGGTCATTACATTATCAATTCGACACCTTTAATAATATTTTGGAAGAGACCCACGCTTTACTTTATAGTTATTTAAATAGAAGAGTATTCTAATATATTAAAAGAAAACAATTTATTTTCAACGTCTATCGGAAAGGGGATAAATGTTCAAACTGAAACACTCCTTGTAACAGCCGATCACCAATTAATTAATCATCCAATTTTTTCATGTTTTTTTTTTTTTTTTTTGAAAACCTAAGCGAAGTTAAGCCGTATGTTTAGTATTATCATAACGAGTATCCTTGAATTTTTTCTTCTGAGATAGCAGCACAGCGTGAGACGTATTCTTGTAAATAAACAAACAGGATGAACAAAACATTCAGGACGTGTGTGTTGTGAAATATTCGTACCAAGTAGTCTTAAAAAAAGAAATTTAACAAATACACCATTTTAATTAAATTTGACCAACGTTATTGTTAATTTTCAAATATATAAATCACGTTTATAAAAAAAAAATTGGAAACCGTACACTGTAAAAGTATTTCATTTATTATTATTTAAACAAAGATACCGATTAAATACAGTTATGTTAGGTTTGTCTCAGGAGCCTGGGTCTATACTTTCATGCTGTTGTACGTTGTAACATGGCCAATTATCTCTAATGAAACTTGCGAACGAAGTAGTACCTTGATCTCAAATGCAAGTAAGGACATAAGTGTGATGGAAACTATCCACCCCCTTTCCCTCCCCATGCCGACAGGGCCGTCGCTACCTATAATGCGAACTAGGCGGTTGCCTAGGGCGCTGTCCATAGGGGGTGCAAAAATTTCAAATCGCCATTATTAAAAAGTACGTAATAATTGATAACTGTGATAATATTACATTAACTATATACATAAACTATATACAAAGGCGTAACGATTTATGTAGGTGCCCAGGAGGAACTATCAATTTTGCGCCCTATCTTGCGCGTTGGTGAAAATGCGCCCTCACCTCCCTCATTTAAAAAGGTCGGGGCGCTTTTTTCCCACGTTTTCTTTAACTTGCTTTCGCATCTGTTTGTTTGTTTGTTTGTTTGTCTTTCCATCAAATCTTGCGATCGAAATTTCGGGCACTTCCCAGTTAGCTAGCGCGCTGAAATTTTCAGGGAAGCTTTGTTTCCGATGACAATACAATATTCAATTATTAACCAGTGTTTCTTCCAGGGGAGTGGTAGAGATGCCTGGAAGAAACTCTGTTTTAACAGTCACTTTGCCTTTTTATTTTGGAGTCACACAATTGATGTAGAATACAATTAAATAAGTCTGTAATGCCAAGTAGCAGTCCACATTCTTTATTTCGACTGTATATAATTTATGTAATGAGCTCTTTATATTATTACCTATCATGTTTGCGCCATTTTTGTGTCGGCGTAAAACGATTTTTCGCACCTTAATAGAATAGTGGTTTTGTGAAAACAAAAAAACGCATCGATTGCAGCAGAGATAGTTCTACAGTAACTAAAACACACTGTAGCGTAGAGAGAGAAAAAACTACATAAGTTGTAGTATGAAAAATAGGCAAATCTTTAAACCACTTCCATGACTTATACTCTCCTTTAAATAGTCGAATCGGGGTGCCGATAAAACTAATTGAAATAGTTTTTTACTAAGCGAATTAAAACTAAAAATTCTTCTTTTAAGAATTATTAAAATTAAGCATTCTGACGGATGACTAAGCTATAAAAAGGAGTTAATTCCAAATTAATAGTATAAATGCAAAACATAAAAAAGCAACAACAACAACAACAATAAAAACCGCGGGAAACCATTACACATATCAAGTTTCCTTGATTCATGGTCTTTGACCAACTTGTCAATTTAGAAGTAAAAAAAGTAAAGTTTCCCTTTCAAACCTGACAGTCAGCACTATGCCCAGCCGCCTTTACTCTCAGAGTTGGTAGGACTCAGGGACGGTCTACTGACTTGAACCCGGATTCGAACTCGAGACTTACGTGTTAGCAGTCCAGCTCTCTACCGCTAGACCACTCCACCCCATGTCAATTTAGAAGGAACACTATTATTCATAATTTTCGTTGGGCGTAAATAAGAAATTTTAAAACTTGATTACTCATGATGGACGTACTTTGCAATGAAATGATTTTGTTTAGAATTTAGTGAGACAGTCTTCTAATATATATATATATATATATATATATATATATATATATATATATATATATATATATATATATATATATATATATATATATATATATATATATGTGTGTGTATGTATATATATATATATATATATATATATATATATATATATATATATATATATATATATATATATATATATATATATATATATATATATATATATATATATATATATATGGGAGAATCGAAAAAAAATTGCCGGGGGGGGGGGTTAATAAGTTTTGCCTAGGGCGCTAAATAACCTGGCGGCGGCACTGCATGCCGACACCATTTATACCAGAAACACAAAAGGGAAACAGGGTATGACGCTGGAGTTGAGGGAAATAATCTAACTAGTTGATTTTAATTACGATATGTGTGCACGATTGAGAAGGAATATGACGACTGTTTACATTGGCAAAAAAATCCAATAGAATTGTAATCGACATGTATGTGTTTGTGTGTGGGGGAGGAGGGTGGGGGATGTACGCCAAGACTGTTGACGGTAAATGGGTCAAATATGTTTCATTACGGGTTACATGTATTTGACTAGACCGAGGAAAACGGGGCATGTCGACGAGGTTAATTAAGCACCACGTGACCGCGTGACGTGTTCGGATGTTGTCAGGTTAGGTAGACCGAACAAGCCAAATTTCGATTGTTTGTTTTAATGATGTCATAGGCGGCTCTGTTCTCTCGTTTTGTTGAGGACTTTTATTTTGTATTTCTCTCTATGTTAAAAAAAAACATCTATTACCAATTACCAGAGTCCACCAAGCTCTCATGTGTGCCTGATTCACATTAGGGAAAGTAAAGCCGGCTAGGCATAGTGCTGACCACACTATCTCTTCATATGCCGATGCCATTGAAAAAGGAAAACTCTACTTCACCTGCCCCATGAAAGGGTATTTATTTATTTATTTATTTTATTTTTTTACCTATTCGGAATAAGCGACAAGGACACACATTTCAATGCACAATCAAAATCCGCCTATGGTTAAGTTGCTACTTAAGTTAATTTTAAAAAAAAAAAAGGTTAACTGAATTAGTTGTGTTTGTCAAAATAAAATTTTATAACGTTTGTCGAAAGACATTTACTTTCGTGTACTGAGTGAAGACCTACATTTTAGCACGTCGAACATTGCAAGGGTAAAATAAAAGTTTTAAACTGTACGTTAGTTTACGTTATAGGCTACCTGTTTAGAACTTGGTTTTCTTTAGGCCTCTCTCCGAGAGGGAGAGAGACAGGAGATAGTATATCTCGATCTAGGAAAAAAAGTAAGTATGATTTTTTTAACCTTTGTTCATCACTCCACCTAGAATTTTATCAGCACGCCTACCCCCCTCCCCCTTTCTCCCCCCTCCCCTCCCCTTGCCCACTTCACGATATTTTAACGTCTGAAAGAAACTCAGGTTGGACGCTTAGTGCTTTAGGAAAAATTGGAACATTATTTCCTAACTCAAGGAATTCTCGTCCAAAAAAAAAAACGTTTAATTGGACTTGCTGTCAACGCTTTTGGAAAATGAATAGCTATCACAACCTCAGGATGACTGTATTTTTACCGCAACTTACACCACTTGAACTTGAACAAGCTTATAAACATCTAATCAAAGTATATCGTTACTAATGTTCTAACCTTAGTATTGACTGCCCATTATATTTAATTTCTTCATAGTTAATTTAAAAAAGAAAAACATGTATATTATAGGTTATCTCAAAATTTTAACAGTTATTTATCTCCCTTTATAACTGGTTTATTTTCCTTGACCAGGACAGTAAAACTGGGCAGCAAACTTATGGCAAGTTTAAATAACGGAACACCAACTCATCCAGGGCAACCTACCGAAGTGCACGGCAAAAAGTCATCAGGATGGAAAATCAACAAGAAGTTATTGCCGCTCAAGATTTTTTATTTCTTTTTTTACGGGGGTAAGTTGAGAATAATGTTGTTTAGTATATTTTGGCTTTGGATGAAAGGATGGACGCTATGGATTAATTCAAAAAAAGTTTTGTTACGGATGAGTATAAAGCGGTTTAAGTACATTTGGGAGATTGTGTTTCTAATTTGTCTTTGAGTTCAACTAAATGTTATCTTGTCATAATTCTTTGCTTTTGATGCAGTTTTGTTTTTAAAAAACTAAATAAAATATAAGTAAATAAAAAATAACTAATACTACAACGAAGTGTTGTAATGAAAGTATTTTAGCCTGTTTCAATTGTTGAAAAATTTGTCTTTAATTTTTGTCGAAAGAAAATTAATTACTAATCTATTGATAAAACAATGAACATAACCGTATGTGTAGTTTTTATTAAATATTTCTTATTAATTCTATTTGATTGTTATTTTTACTTTCTCGTATATACGAAGTAGGCCTATAAAGAAAGTATTGTAATCGTGCAAAAAAAAAATCGAGATTTTTACAAATCTCGACGTTTTACACCTCGCTGATACGGAAAAAACAATTTTGCAATCTTGTCCGTATGTCTGTGTGTCTGTGTGTGTGTGTGTCTGTCCGTGTGTAAACACGATTACTTGAGTACCGTTACAGCTAGGTTGATGAAATTTCATATATAAGTATTTTATCAAAATCGTAGATCCGTATAAACTTTAAAGCGATTTCCGATAACCGGAAGTGGTACTTTTCCTACTTTGAATTTTTCAAAAGCCTATAACTTGAGTACTATTTTAGATAGATAAATGAAATTTCACACGTAAGTAAAAGATCTAATTCTCTACCTTCTGTTAAATTTTGAGTAATTTACGCTACTTCCGATTTCTCAAAAAACTAATGTAAATTTTTAAAGTACTAATAATATTGCGCACTATTATGCACTTTTTTTATTTGGCGTTCAGTTGGTGTGCAATTCTTTTGTCTACGAGATTTTATTCTATTTTTAAAACTTTAAGTATTTAAAATGGATTAAAAATCATGTCTATAGCCCGAGTTCCCATCCCCTGTTATTTTATATAAGAATATTCGAGAAAGTTTTGGGGAGATCACTCCCGGTTTATTTTTTTTAAATAACTGACTTCTACGTAAATATAACACTGTTTTCAGCTTCCGGGTCTGTGATTCCATTTGTCAGTGTCTACCTAAAACATCTTCGACTCAATGTGGCTGAGGCCGGCCTCATCACCGGAAGTGCCGTCTTGCTGGCCATGTGCGTGAGGCCACTCTTCGGTATGGCTGCTGACAGATTCGGAGCGTGGAAGACACTGCTCGCGTTATGTAACTTTGGTGGGCATTTTTTAAACTCGTCTTTATTTTTATTATTACAAGCTTTTATTACAATCACTTCCTCGTCAGTCTGTCGTCAGTCTGTCTGTCTAGATCGAAACGCCGGAGCGAAAATTCGGACACTTCTAACTGACAGATACGGTTTGTAATTGGTACGTGGGTCAAGACATGAAGACAATGCATTATGACATTAAATTTGACTTAATTGGATGCCTAATTAGTTTTTTATGAATTAATTAAAATTTGGACCGAATTAGTAGGCTGTTCTATACACACGCATTATCACGACCGTGTTGAGCGTGGAGCGAGGGGGGGGGGGGCTCTACGTCAAAAGCGCGTCATCATGTTCAATAGACGCGCGATGGTTTTTATTTATTTTTTTTTTTTCGTATTGGTATTTAAAATAGAAAGTTGCAAGGGGTCATTAACCAAACATTTCCACGATAGAGCTAGTTTGATGACTAAAAAGCACTTGTACAAAGAAAAACAACCTAAGAGATCGATGTTTTGTTGGCCTGTTTGTTTGAAATAAAATTAGAACTGGCTAAGGTAAACCCTGGGGAAGGTGTGGTCGGGCGAGAGAGCTCATAACTTCTAACTTCAAATTTGAATATACAAAGTTTGGACCCGAGTAAATGAAGCTCATTGGGTGTGGGCAGGTACTCATTTTTTTTTTTAAGTTCCCTTTTCAAACCTGACGGACTATAGGGCAAGTGAAGTAGAGTTCACGTGTTTCTGTGACCTTGGCATATGAGGAGATAGTGTGGTCAGCACCATGCCAAGCCGCCTTTATTTTCCCTAAAATGAGTTAGGTATCCATCAGAGTTGGGTGGACGGTCTACTGACTTGAACCCGGATTCGAACTCGAGACTTACGGGTTAGCAGTCCAGCTCTCTACCGCTAAACCACTCCGTCCACCAGCTACTCATGAAGGATAGAAAACCCCTAAAATTTGCTACCTTGGAAATGTTTATTGGAATTGGATGGACAAATGCTATGAAAGCAAAGCCAGAAAAAAAAGAAGGCAGAAGCCGGGGTCAACTAGCCATATGGCGCATAAATATTGATACGTAAAGCTAATATGAGTTAAAGTAAAACCCACTCCATAATTACAATAAAGAACGAAAAAAATGGTAAATATTTTGTCACGACATTTCATTGTTTTAAGGTCCCAGGTCAGGATAGACCCACCAATAAAATAAAAATTGTTTTCATACACCACTCAGGTTAATTACAATAACAACTTCTTGTAGTTTTCACTCGATAACTGTTAAAGTATAAAATGAGCATTCTGTTATATTTCTCTCCTCTTTGACAGGCTTTGGGATAGCGTATTTCTGTATGATATTTGTGCCAGTGAGGTTCCAAGCCTTTGGTGCCAGGAACGAATCCCTGCCGGACGCTAATGCGTCGATATTTCATCAAGAGCCATGGAGCCATATCTGGACTTGTTATTCTGCTGAAGGAGCCGTGATCTGCAGTTACCCGCAACATCTAGACCATAAAAAGTGTCACGTTTATGAAAATGACGTCACTTCAGTAGAAGAAACGGGTTTTCAAAGTTTTAATGCTTCAAATAAAATTTTCCGTCAAGGTAAAAACATTTCAGCAAACGATCATTATATTGGACTTATGGGTAGTAGTGTTTCCTCCGCTGAAAGCTCAGAGTTAAATTTAAGCTCAGATGGTAAATCTATGTACCAAAAACAAGCCGATGAAAAAGAAATGTCAACGTATTGTTTTTATTTGAACTCTGATACAAGCGTAACACCAGATTTTTCAGGTAATCATTTATTGGACAAAGAGACGCTCAAAACTACACCGGAAATACCAACCGATAAAAACACAAACAATATATTGTCGTCTGGTAAAAGAAAAAACTATAACAGAACTAACAATATGGTTCGACGCAGCTATCCAGTTTGGTGTCTACCCAACTGTACCAAGTATATTTTAAAATACATGACGGGAACTCCAGAAACGGAACTTTTTACCACGACGAAAAATCCATTTATTGAAAATTCCGGTAACTATGGAAGCATTGTTCACGATTTTGCTTTTGTAATTTCGTTTCTTTTAATAACGATTGCACGTTCGTTCTATGCTGCATCATCCAGGTAGGTAATTACTAATTAGGATACGTTTTTCATTAGATTTGTGTGCCTCTAGTTCCCCTTTTGTGATCAAAGGTTATTTATCTTTATTTTAGTTTTTAAACATTAAAATTATACATTTTCATAATTCGTCACTTTAACAGCGCATTGAGGAAAGATTTACGAAAAAAAGCACTGATTAAAATAATATTTGCTCTTCGTGCGTTATTACATACATACCCATTCAAAGTTGTCATAAGCCTTTAAATTTCCACCACCCACTACCCCTACTAATATTCGAAGAAAATCTTTACTAAAAAGAATGTACCGATTGTTATTTCGTAATTACTAATGCTTTTTAAACTTTTAAATAATAATTTAAAAAAAAAAAGAAATATAATCGATATCCAATCAACCATCATCACGTGCCTCATCTTCATCAATTAGCATAATTGCGCCTGCGTCAGTCTGGCAGATGCAGTTACCTACACAGTCCTGGGACCCCGGTCCCATCGATGGGGTCAGCAGCGGCTTTGGGGGACGCTGGGAACGGCCCTGGCGGTGCTGGCGACCATGGTCCTTAACGATAGGCTCAAGGTAACTACTCGGTGTGATCTCACACTGTTAGGATAGCATGTAACTTCCGCATCTCGAGTTTTTGTCGCTGCAGTAAAGGATATCATATAACTTCCGCATCTCGAGTTTTTGTCGCTACAGTAAAGATTATCATACAACTTCCGTATCTCGAGTTTTTATCGCTGCTGTAAAGGATACCATACAACTTCCTCATCTCGAGTTTTTGTCGCTGCAGTAAAGGATATCATACAACTTCCGTATCTCGAGTTTTTGTCGCTGCAGTAAAGGATATCATACAACTTCCGTATCTCGAGTTTTTGTCGCTGCAGTAAAGGATATCATACAACTTCCGCATCTCGAGTTTTTGTCGCTGCTGTAAAGGATATCACACAACTTCCTTATTTCGAATTTTTGTCGCTGCAGTAAAGGATATCATGTAACTTCCGCATCTCGAATGTTGTCGTAGCATTGATGGTATGCCTGTGGATCTCGAGACAGTATTCAGCATAGTGTGTACTTTTCGAATCTGACATTTTGTCGGTGCTGCTAAACTAGCACATTATAATATAACGTCGTCATCTCAGAAATTATTTAAACATCACCTATTTCTAATTTTAAAACTTTGGCAGATGTATGAGAAACATTTTAGCTGCTGAAGTAAAATACTATCTAAATATTAATATGTGTGTATATATATATATATATATATATATATATATATATATATATATATATATATATATATATATATATATATATATATGGGTTAGCGCCCATAAAAGGTAAGGTCTGCTACTGTGCTAAATATTTTTCAATTATTTTTCTATAGGGAGACAACTTTTCTGCCCTTTTCGCAGTATGTTTAGGGTTATCTGTTTTTGCCTCTGTGATCACCGGAACTACAATGAAAGCACAAAAGTAAGACTTTTTTCTTAGATGTGTTTTACTTTTTAATTATTTTTTCTAAAAAACATCTGTAAATTTACTTGCTTATACAACCCCTCATACATTGCGTCTTTAATTTTTTATTTTTTTTTAAATTATGTACAGGATACCGGAGAAAAGAAAACTCTGCTCTGACGTCACAAAGGTCCTATCCAATAGCAGCGTTCGTCTCTTCCTGGCCAAACTGTTGTTCTTTGGGATCATGTGTGGGACAGTGAACAACTTCTTCCTGTGGTTTTTGGTTGACCTGGGTGCCGACCAGACGATTCTCGGCCTCGTTGTCATGACGCACTGTCTGTCGTCTGTCAGCACGCTGGGGTAGGTCAAGCAGACGATGGAAGAGCAATACAAACGGGTGGGGGGGGGGGGAACTATTAGAATTTATTCCAGGCATCACTCCATAATAAGTCCACCGCCCCCAGAGTTTCTCCCAGACATCTCTTCGGGAGGGGGGGGGGGGGCCCTGTCCCCTGAAGAAGGTCTACCACTCTCCCCCCCACCCCACCGAACGAAATGGAATTTATATGGAAAATATTTACTTTTAACAGTGACCGCCCCCCCCCCCCCCCCCCGGAAATTTAAGTGCCCTCCCCCCCACCCAAACCAGACTTTTGTTACCTGTTCTCTGAGTGTGGAAGTTGTATATGTTATTATCAGTGTTTCTTCCAGACTTTTTTTCTCCGGTGAGGGGGAAGGGGCCATTGAAATTTTGGGGGGTGGGGGGGGGGGCACGGAGTGATCTAGCGGTAGAGAGCTGGATTGCTAACCCGTCCCTGAGTCCACCCAACTCTGATGGGTACCTAACTCACGTTAGGGAAATTAAAGGCGGCTGGCCATAGTGCTGACCACACTATCTCTTCATAATTCCATTTCGTTCGCGGAGGGGGGGGGTAGACTTTCTTCGAGCCCCCCCCCCCCCCCCCCCCCCCACCCCCGGAGAGATGCTCTGGTTATTATATATGCTGTAATGAAGATAACCATGTGTTTGTCAGGAACACTGGACGCATACTGAAGCGTATTGGGCCGAACAACACCATGTATGTGGCTTTGGTGGCCTACGTCATACGCTACTTCACGTTCTCGCTGCTTACGTCACCGTGGGCGGCACTTCCGGTGGAGCTGCTTCACGGGTTGACCTACTCCATGTTTTGGGCGGCGGCTTCTTCCACTGCGAGCCGGGCGGCGCCGCCCGGGACACAGGGGACGTGCCAGGGGATCGCTGGTGCTGTGTACTGGGACCTGGGTAAGATTTGGGGTGTTGGTACACTTGGGGTCCGGGGTCAGATTTGGGGTATTGGTACACTTGGGGTCCGGGGTCAGATTTGGGGTATTGGTACACTTGGGGTCCGGGGTCAGATTTGGGGTATTGGTACACTTGGGGACCTGGGTAAGATTTGGGGTATTGGTACACTTGGGGTCCGGGGTCAGATTTGGGGTATTGGTACACTTGGGGTCCGGGGTCAGATTTGGGGTATTGGTACACTTGGGGACCTGGGTAAGATTTGGGGTATTGGTACACTTGGGGTCCGGGGTCAGATTTGGGGTATTGGTACACTTGGGGTCCGGGGTCAGATTTGGGGTATTGGTACACTTGGGGTCCGGGGTCAGATTTGGGGTATTGGTACACTTGGGGTCCGGGGTCAGATTTGGGGTATTGGTACACTTGGGGTCCGGGGTCAGATTTGGGGTATTGGTACACTTGGGGTCCGGGGTCAGATTTGGGGTATTGGTACACTTGGTGACCTGGGTAAGATTTGGGGTATTGGTACACTTGGGGTCATAGGTAAGATTTGGGGGTCAGGGGGCAATTTGGTACACGGGTCACATTTGGGGTCTTATGAGCTTTTGGGACCTGGGTAAGATTTGGGGTATTGGTACACTTGGGGTCCTGGGTCAGATTTGAGGGTCAGGGAGAAATTTGGTACACAGGTCACATTTGGGGGTCTTATGAGCTTTTGTGACCTGGGTAAGATTTGGGGTCAGGGGGAAATTTGGTACACGGGTTACATTTGGGGGTCCTATGAGCTTTTGGGACCTGGATAAGATTTCTAGTCTTGGTATTTTTTGGGACCTGGGTAAGATTTTGGGGCCTTGTGATTATTATTATTTATTTTTTATGGCCCTAGGTAAGATTGGGTGTTTGTTTTTTTTTTGGACCTGGGTAAGATTTAGGGTTTATTTGTGAATTGTGCAACAATTTGGGGGTCTTGGGATTTTTTAAACCCTAGTTAATATTTGTGGTTTTGTGGTGTTTTTTTTTTTTTTTTTGGACCTACGTAAGATTTAGGGTCTTGTAGTTATTCGGGCTCCTGGTAAGATTTTGAGGCCTTGGAATTTTTTTTGTCCTAGGTAAAATTGGGGTTTGTGGTTCTTTTTTTCTTTTTTTTTTTTGGGACCAAGTAAGATGTGAGGTCTTCAGATTTTTTGTGTGCTAGGTAAGGTGTAGGATAATGTGACATTTTGAAAACTGGAGTAAGATTTTTTTTTCGATAATTTCAGTTATTGATAGTTAATGCGGCCCCCGGGCTGAAAAGTTTGGAGACCCCTGCATAGAGCATTCGGTTCACACAAAAATGCGCAGTCGGAAAACTGCGCAAACAGAAAAATACGCAAATACGAACGAATTAAATTAAAACGCTAAAATTTTGTTATATTTAGTCGAAAAGTTTTAGTATGCTATGTAAATCTAGTCACTCTTTGTTAATGTCTAAAAAAAATTCTCGATTTTTGAAAACAAATATGCCCGTGCGCACTTTTTTGTGCGGGTTTTCCATTGCCCATCTTATCTTTCCGGTCACCAGAACATTTCTATTGCTATTCTAAAGCATGGCCTACTAACCTAATTGACCAAGCGTGGACTGGTTTAAATTTTATCACTTTATACGGTATACCAGTAGCGAAAGAAAGGGGACGCACAATCAAACACACTAAAAGACTATACCTATTACAGCTAGTATGACCTATCTAGCATATAATTACACATTATAATAGTATTAGTATGGACATAACTACAATTAAAAATTAAAACGATGTGTTATCCCTGTTCTCTACCTTATGCTAATTTCAGTTATATCAGACATGTTTATGATTTGATTTGTCAGGACGTGGACTTGGTTCGCTCATCACTGGTCAAATTTTGGACACTCTCGGCCCTAGGTGGACATTCCGGGGCTACAGCGTGATTTGCGCTGCGCTTTTGCCGCTATTCGTGATAGCTGATCATATATGGCCCAACAGGAAGTTCAGGACCAGGGAAACGCTGGCAGTCAAAAACTTAGATGAAGAGAAAACTATAAATAGCACACAGATTTAAATGTGTCGAGGATTAAAATAGAGTAAATCAATGTGCTGTTATGTGTACTTTTTTTTAATTTATACATTTTTAAGGCCCTACAAACTGGAGTTCAACCGAGAGCCAGAAGTATAGGTTAAAGGTGATTGCCATGATTACTATGGCAACGAAGTTTACGATGAAAGCTGCGCATCTAGCTAATAAAATATTTTTTTTGAGTGGCGCTGAAGTCTTAGCATTCTCCAGTGGAAAGTTAATAGTGATGATCTATTCTAGTTATCAACTATATACAGGGTTCATGCTCCAAAATTTAAAAAAAGTTCCATGAGTTTTCCAGAAGATTTCCAGGCAGAGTTTCTTCCAGGCATCTCTTCAGGGGGCCCCGCCCCGCCCCCCCCCCCTCCCCACAAAATGGAATTTATATAGAAAACATTTTTACCAGTGTCCGCACCCTCCTCTCCCGAATATATCAAGTGCCCCACCCCATGAGAAAAAAGTCTGGAAGAAACATTGTTTCAAGAAGTTTTAAATAAATTCCCGGGAGATTTTTAAAATTACGAAATCTGTATTGTATGGCCACTTATACAGTATAAGTCTCTTGTATAAAGACTGACTTTAAATGGCTGCTGGTGGTATGAAAACAAAAACAGCTAGTTCTTTTATCAACCAACTAACAGAAAAGGAGTTGATTCTAAAATTAAATGTCTCTGGGAAAGTTCAGATATCCAAAGCCAGCTATATATTTTTTGTAAGAGCAGGACATTCCCCCTCTAACTGAACTGGGCTATGACATTGCAGAACATGTAACAGTAATAATAGGTCATATTTTTTCTAGCAGCTTATTCCAATCATTGCAAGTAACAGAGCATATTACTATTTACATTAGCTCATATTATTTCTTGCAACCTGTGCCAATCATTGCAAGTAGCAGAACATGTTACAGTGGGTCATATTTCTTCTTTTCACTTTTTACAATTGTTGCAAGTCAAATCCAACTAGTTCCAATCATATTCTCTCTTCATTTCTCTCACATCATGAATAACATGATTAAAAAAATACAAACACTGAGGCATGTTGTTTTTAAAAAAAATTTCTAATTTACATACTTCAACTGATCCCAAGCAGATGATCAATACATACATATCATGGTTGCATATCCAACAAACTCCTGTAACACAACTAATCTAGACTTCACACCAAATCACACAAGTTGTGTCAGTCTGAACATTTGAACCTCTCACACCTGATGCACTCTTAATAGAAGCAAATTATTATCAACAAAGAATTTAACCAATTTCAGAAGATCAAACTAAATATGTTAAAATATCAGTACTTTCAGCTATATTCCTGCAGATTATAGAATAGTTATTTCATTTGAGAACAATTTTTTTTTAAATCACCAAATGTATCAAAACCATTACTCAAACATATTATATACTTTATTGAATACTAAAAAAAAACTAACATATTTGGTTGTATTGAATGTCTTGGTGTTGTTCAAAGACAAAACAAAATAAATGGAAAAATAAACATTATCCTTGATTCACTGACACGCTTATAATAACAAAAAATGTATGGCTCCAATATTACTTTATGTGTGGTTAGTGCCCAGCCTATTATGCAATATATCTCTAGAATATTCTTTTTCCTTTATTAAACTGCATTTTCTGACAACAAGGTTAAGAAAACAGAAATGTATTCAAATTGTGTGCAGTACATTTAAAGCAGCACTATTTGCACAATAGTTGTTTGGCTAGCTGTCTGGTTATTAACTGCCCTTTCTAGTGTTTACACCAACATAAACTCCTATTTGACAGCCAATAGTGAGGACAACTCAGGTACCAATAACACAATTTCAAACCTAGTTAGGACAATCCAGGTACCCAATAACACTATATCAAACCTAGTGAGGACAACCCAGGTACCCAATAACACTATATCAAGCCAAGCAAGGACAACCCAGGTACCCAATAACACTATATCAAACCTAGTTAGGACAGCCCAGGTACCCAATAACACTATATCAAACCTAGTGATGACAACCTAGGTACCCAATAACACTATATAAAGCCTAGTTAGGACAATCCAGGTACCCAATAACACTATATCAAACCTAGTGATGACAACCCAGGTACCCAATAACACTATATCAAGCCTAGTTAGGACAATCCAGGTACCCAATAACACTATATCAAACCTAGTGATGACAACCCAGGTACCCAATAACACTATATCAAACCTAGTAAGGACAACCCAGGTACCCAATAACACTATATCAAACCTAGTGATGACAACCCAGGTACCCAATAACACTATATCAAGCCTAGCAAGGACAACCCAGGTACCCAATAACACTATATCAAACCTAGTTAGGACAGCCCAGGTACCCAATAACACTATATCAAACCTAGTGAGGACAACCCAGGTACCCAATAACACTATATCAAACCTAGTGAGGACAACCCAGGTACCCAATAACACTATATCAAGCCTAGCAAGGACAACCCAGGTACCCAATAACACTATATCAAACCTAGTTAGGACAGCCCAGGTACCCAATAACACTATATCAAACCTAGTGAGGACAACCCAGGTACCCAATAACACTATATCAAACCTAGTGAGGACAACCCAGGTACCCAATAACACTATATCAAGCCTAGCAAGGACAACCCAGGTACCCAATAACACTATATCAAACCTAGTTAGGACAGCCCAGGTACCCAATAACACTATATCAAACCTAGTGATGACAACCTAGGTACCCAATAACACTATATCAAACCTAGTTAGGACAACCCAGGTACCCAATAACACTATATCAAACCTAGTGATGACAACCTAGGTACCCAATAACACTATATCAAACCTAGTGAGGACAACCCAGGTACCCTATAGCACTATATCAAACCTAGTTAGGACAACCCAGGTACACAATAACACTATATCAAACCTAGTAAGGACAACCCAGGTACCCAATAACACTATATCAAGCCTAGTTAGGACAGCCCAGGTACCCAATAACACTATATCAAGCCTAGTTAGGACAGCCCAGGTACCCAATAACACTATATCAAGCCTAGTTAGGACAACCCAGGTACCCAATAACACTATATCAAACCTAGTAAGGACAACCCAGGTACCCAATAACACTATATCAAGCCTAGCAAGGACAACCCAGGTACCCAATAACACTATATCAAGCCTAGCAAGGACAACCCAGGTACCCAATAACACTATATCAAACCTAGTGAGGACAACCCAGGTACCCAATAACACTATATCAAACCTAGTGATGACAACCCAGGTACCCAATAACACTATATCAAACCTAGTGAGGACAACCCAGGTACCCAATAACACTATATCAAGCCTAGTGAGGACAACCCAGGTACCCAATAACACTATATCAAGCCTAGCAAGGACAACCCAGGTACCCAATAACACTATATCAAGCCTAGTAAGGACAACCCAGGTACCCAATAACACTATATCAAGCCTAGTTAGGACAGCCCAGGTACCCAATAACACTATATCAAGCCTAGTGAGGACAACCCAGGTACCCAATAACACTATATCAAACCTAGTGAGGACAACCCAGGTACCCAATAACACTATATCAAACCTAGTGAGGACAACTCAGGTACTTATAACACTATATCAAACCTAGTAAGGACAACCCAGGTACCCAATAACACTATATCAAACCTAGTGATGACAACCCAGGTACCCAATAACACTATATCAAACCTAGTTAAGACAACCCAGGTACCCAATAACACTATATCAAACCTAGTGATGACAACCCAGGTACCCAATAACACTATATCAAACCTAGTTAAGACAACCCAGGTACCCAATAACACTATATCAAACCTAGTAAGGACAACCCAGGTACCCAATAACACTATATCAAACCTAGTGAGGACAACCCAGGTACCCAATAACACTATATCAAGCCTAGCAAGGACAACCCAGGTACCCAATAACACTATATCAAACCTAGTTAGGACAGCCCAGGTACCCAATAACACTATATCAAGCCTAGCAAGGACAACCCAGGTACCCAATAACACTATATCAAGCCTAGCAAGGACAACCCAGGTACCCAATAACACTATATCAAACCTAGTGAGGACAACCCAGGTACCCAATAACACTATATAAAGCCTAGTGATGACAACTCAGGTACTTATAACACTATATCAAACCTAGTTAGGACAGCCCAGGTACCCAATAACACTATATCAAGCCTAGTTAGGACAGCCCAGGTACCCAATAACACTATATCAAACCTAGTGAGGACAACCCAAGTACCCAATAACACTATATCAAACCTAGTGAGGACAACCCAGGTACCCAATAACACTATATAAAGCCTAGTGATGACAACTCAGGTACTTATAACACTATATCAAACCTAGTTAGGACAGCCCAGGTACCCAATAACACTATATCAAGCCTAGTTAGGACAGCCCAGGTACCCAATAACACTATATCAAGCCTAGTTAGGACAGCCCAGGTACCCAATAACACTATATCAAGCCTAGTTAGGAAAGCCCAGGTACCCAATAACACTATATCAAGCCTAGTTAGGACAGCCCAAGTACCCAATAACACTATATCAAGCCTAGTTAGGACAGCCCAGGTACCCAATAACACTATATCAAGCCTAGTTAGGACAGCCCAGGTACCCAATAACACTATATCAAGCCTAGTTAGGACAGCCCAGGTACCCAATAACACTATATCAAGCCTAGTTAGGACAGCCCAGGTACCCAATAACACTATATCAAGCCTAGTTAGGACAGCCCAGGTACCCAATAACACTATATCAAGCCTAGTTAGGACAGCCCAGGTACCCAATAACACTATATCAAGCCTAGTTAGGACAGCCCAGGTACCCAATAACACTATATCAAGCCTAGTTAGGACAGCCCAGGTACCCAATAACACTATATCAAGCCTAGTTAGGACAGCCCAGGTACCCAATAACACTATATCAAGCCTAGTTAGGACAGCCCAGGTACCCAATAACACTATATCAAGCCTAGTTAGGACAGCCCAGGTACCCAATAACACTATATCAAGCCTAGTTAGGACAGCCCAGGTACCCAATAACACTATATCAAGCCTAGTTAGGACAGCCCAGGTACCCAATAACACTATATCAAGCCTAGTTAGGACAACCCAGGTACCCAATAACACTATATCAAGCCTAGTGAGGACAACCCAGGTACCCAATAACACTATATCAAACCTAGTGAGGACAACCCAGGTACCCAATAACACTATATCAAGCCTAGTTAGGACAGCCCAGGTACCCAATAACACTATATCAAGCCTAGCAAGGACAACCCAGGTACCCAATAACACTATATCAAACCTAGTGAGGACAACCCAGGTACCCAATAACACTATATCAAGCCTAGTTAGGACAGCCCAGGTACACAATAACACTATATCAAACCTAGTTAGGACAACCCAGGTACCCAATAACACTATATCAAACCTAGTGATGACAACCCAGGTACCCAATAACACTATATCAAACCTAGTTAAGACAACCCAGGTACCCAATAACACTATATCAAACCTAGTAAGGACAACCCAGGTACCCAATAACACTATATCAAACCTAGTGAGGACAACCCAGGTACCCAATAACACTATATCAAACCTAGTGAGGACAACCCAGGTACCCAATAACACTATATCAAACCTAGTGAGGACAACTCAGGTACTTATAACACTATATCAAACCTAGTAAGGACAACCCAGGTACCCAATAACACTATATCAAACCTAGTGAGGACAACCCAGGTACCCAATAACACTATATCAAACCTAGTGAGGACAACCCAGGTACACAATAACACTATATCAAACCTAGTGAGGACAACCCAGGTACCCAATAACACTATATCAAACCTAGTGAGGACAACCCAGGTACCCAATAACACTATATCAAGCCTAGTGCTGGTTCTGTTTACAGATCCAACCTGGCATCTGAAACACAGATTCTTCATAAAACTCCTGGCCACTGAGGGCACAGAGTTTGTCAAAAACTATCAGCAGGCCAATCATGTTTGGTGAATTACAATCACACAAGACATTTTAACTATAATAAAGAAAGTAAATGGTATATTCAATGGAAATTTAAGAAGTGACTGAGGCTTAAATTAGGAAGACCTAGGTCTGAAACATGACTTGTAAAAGAAATTTTTTTAACTTGATGGGTATGAGGAAACTCTTTGATTTTGATAATCGCCTTTGAGGCCTAGACAAATAATGGAAGTGGAATAAATAACCATTTATGTCATCTGAATGACAAGAGGAGAATAAATTACCAATTGTGTCATTTCAGTGGCAAGTGAATGTCCAAAAGTATTGTGTCAAAAACTGAATTAAAAAGAAAATAAATGACAACAAAAACTAAAAAGGTAAAAAACTTGCTCTAAAACATTGACAGAACTACTGGATTTTTCATTTGGTATATAGGCCTAGTCCTTACTAGCGGTTGTCTTATTATAAAAATGCCTGTGAGAATACATTTGAAACATGAATGTTGATGGATAGGAAAACTAAATTGTTGACAAAACTTTTTAACACAAAATGATTAACTAGCAGTTTAATCAGGAAGTTAAAATCACTGAAAACAAAAAGAGTGCTATTTAACTGGTCATAAGCTGTCTATACATTTAAAGTAATTGTTAATTATCAAATGAATTAATTATACGATAGTTTATGGAATGGGTCGGTTGAAAAATAATAGAGTAGTACTCCTATGTAAATTTCAGTTAATAAAAAAATGACAATAGCTGAGGACATAACCCAACTAATGTGACCACTTCAGGAAAATTTCATTGATGCACCCACAATGCTTGCATACACAAAGAAAGACATTTTTGAAGAAATACCAAGAAGGATAAAAATTTGACGGTGTCAGGGGGGGATTAAACATGGCAGGCATAGAACATGCGATAAATTCATTGTATCTTACTGTATTAAATAAAACAACACTGTTAGCTGATCAAATACTCGGCTGCTCGCGTTACATCCCAGTCTTTTGTTGACAGCGCCACTCTGGCTTTATGCTGAAACAACAAGAGTAGTGTTAGTTCGTGGTAGGGGCTAATAGAAGTAGTGTTAGTTCATGGTAGGGGCTAACAGAAGTAGTGTTCATGGTAGGGGCTAACAGAAGTAATGTTAGTTCATGGTAGGGGCTAACAGAAGTAGTGTTAGTTCATGATAGGGGCTAACATGGGTAGTGTTAGTTCATGGTAGGGGCTAACAGGAGTAGTGTTAGTTCATGGTAGGGGCTATCAAGTGTAATGGAATGGGCTGACAAAGAGTAGTTTGTTCATGGAAGGGGATAACAAGAATAATGAAAGGGGCTGACAAGATCAGCATTTGTTTGTGGAATAGGCTAACAAGAGTAGTGTTTGTTTATGGAAGGGGCTAACAATAGTGTTTTTTCATGGAAGGGGTGGGCTAACAAGAGTAATGGAATGCATTAACAAGAGTAATGTTTGTTCTTGAAAGGGGCTAACAATAGTGTTTGTTCATGGAAGGGGCTAACAAGAGTAGTGTTTGTTCATGGAAGGGGCTAACAAGAGTAGTGTTTGTTCATGGAAGGGGCTAACAAGAGTAGTGTTTGTTCATGGAAGGGGCTAACAAGAGTAGTGTTTGTTCATGGAAGGGGCTAACAAGAGTAGTGTTTGTTCATGGAAGGGGCTAACAAGAGTAATGTTTGTTCATGGAAGGGGCTAACAAGAGTAGTGTTTGTTCATGGAAGGGGCTAACAAGAGTAATGTTTGTTCATGGAAGGGGCTAACAAGAGTAGTGTTTGTTCATGGAAGGGGCTAACAAGAGTAGTGTTTGTTCATGGAAGGGGCTAACAAGAGTAGTGTTGATTGATTGAAGAGCTGTAAATTTGGTAAGAAGCTGCTGACACAACTCTAAAGAGATTAAACCATGTTAAGTAGTTATAAACACCAGATCTAAAAACTAACTATAAAAGAACAATCTATTTACAAGAGAACTGACTGCATATTTCAACCACAATAGTTGTTTCTTTAACTTTAAGTATCAATAAACATGAAAATAAACCGTGAGTGATCTCCCCTAAACTTTCTCGAATATTCTTATATGACTTGGAATATAGACATGATTTTTAATTACTTAAACTTTTAAAAATAGAATAGAATCTCATAGAAAAAAGAATTGCACACCAAGCGAACGCCAAAACAAAATGTGCATAATAGTGCGCAATATTATTAGTACTTTATAAATTTACATGCGTTTTTTGAGAAATCGGAAATAGCGTAAATTAGTACTTCTGGTCAACGGAAATTACTCAAAATTTGACAGAAGGTAGAGAATTAGATCTTTTACTTACATGTGAAATTTCATTTATCTATCTGAAATATTACTCAAGTTATAGGCTTTTGAAAAAGTCAAATTAAAATAAACCGGGAGTGATCTCCCCTAAACTTTCTCGAATATTCTTATATAAAATAACAGGGGATGGAAACTCGGGCTATAGACATGATTTTTAATCCATTTTAAATACTTAAAGTTTTAAAAATAGAATAAAATCTCGTAGACAAATTAATTGCACACCAAGTGAACGCAAATAAAAAAAGCGCATAATAGTGCGCAATATTATTAGTACTTTTAAAATTTACATTAGTTTTTTGAGAAATCGGAAGTAGCGTAAATTACTACTTCCAGTCAACGGAAATTACTCAAAGCTTAACAGAAGGTAGAGAATTAGATCTTTTACTTACATGTGAAATTTCATTTATCTATCTGAAATAGTACTCAAGTTATAGGCTTTTAAAAAATTCAAAGTAGGAAAAGTACCACTTCCGGTTATCGGAAATCGCTCAAAAGTTGATACGGATCTACGATTTTGATAAAATACTTATATATGAAATTTCATCAACCTAGCTGTAACGGTACTCAAGTTATCGTGTTTACACACGGACAGACACACACACGGACAGACACACACACACACAGACATACGGACAAGATTGCAAAATTATGTTTTTCCGTATCAGTGAGGTGTAAAACGTCGAGATTTGTAAAAATCTCGATTTTTTTTTTTGCACGATTACAATACTTTCTCTATACTACGTATATACGAGAAAGTAAAAAGTACCACTTCCAGTTATCGGAAATCGCTCAAAAGTTGATCAGGATCTGCGATTTTGATAAAATACTTATATATGAAATTTCATCAACCTAGCTCTAACGGTACTCAAGTTATCGTGTTTATCGTGTAAAACGTCGAATTTGTAAAAATCTTGATTTTTTTTTATTTTTTGCACGATTACAAGACTTTCTTTATACTTCGTATATACGAGAAAGTAAAAATTATGACAAAAAGCAATATACAGGTAAATTGTAATAATTTTCTCAAAATAACTTAGCATTTACAAAAATAAATTACAGATGATTTTAAACCTAGAAAAGCTTAAAAAATAAATAATGCACATTTACTATTCAATGACAAATTAAACACTACGTGGGACTACGTTCTATTTTTATGCCACTAATTTGATTCCTCAAGTCCCTAAAAACTGTTCCTAAAAGAATATTTTAACTTTCTTTTAAGTCATAGAAAATGAGACAAAATAAAAAATTCCCTTGCCTCTGCTGGTATTTTCTGTTCAACACAGAAATGAAAGTAAAATTAGTTGTTCTGTTTCAGAAGGCAGGACCAAATTAAAAAATATTGGTAAGCTAAGATAACTTCATTAATTAGCTATAAATAATTAAGCATCAACTAAAACTCCAGCTTAACACAATATTATTGCCATTCCAACTATCATGTGTAATTAATGTGTGTATATAAAAATGTATATAACTAAAGAGTAATATTTTTCTGCTCACCTCATCAAATCCCATGTTTTTCATACTGATGACTTTATCTTCTAATTCTTTATCTGTTTTTGGGCCTGCAGAAATAAAAGTTATGTATATTAATTCCAATTTGGACAGATCATCTCAGGTACCAGAACAAATCAGCTTTTAAACAGAAACAGGCAGAATCACCTTCTTCATAGACCATCTGGTTGAAAATGGGTAAATAAATGCTGTACATTTCCATTTTTCCACAATAAAATACAATGTCACTAGATATGCATAGAAATTAGAGAATTCTGTTTCACTCCTGTTTAACTTTTGTAAAAGTACTTTTTGATTTACAGTGATGGGTGAGTTACTATTTTCTCAAACAAATATTTTAGGACAGATTGACTATTTAAGGTGGTTATTTTAGAAAAAAATATATTTGTGTCATACAGCTCTATGTTTTAATTTATTGTTTTAAATAAATTATTACACAGAGTATTTTTTTTATGCGACAATTTATTTCCACTTCACTTTTTTCATAAGTATTTATCTAAATACAACCATCAGATTAACTTAGGGCAAAGATGACATCACATAAAAAGAAAAAAAAAACAGTATTTGCATACCTCCTGCATAAGCAGTGGTCCAGTGTCTTGCTGTGCGCTGGAAAATGGCATTGTTTTCTTTATACTGCTGGGCCACAACTGCATCTTGGGGGTCATCAGGCTCGGCTGCAGCTAACAGAGCTTGTAATGACAACAGCACTGTACGCAGAGTCATTGCAGCTGCCCTGGAAATGGTACACAATGTAATTTTAAACTGTACGCAAATTACACAAAACTAGATTGACATAAAAATGTTACAATGAAGAGCTTGGTAAAGCAGTCTTACCATTGATCTTTTAAGATGTCTAAACATATAGCACCAGTTACTGAACTAATGTTTGGATGCCAGATTTTCGTCACAAATTTCACCTGTTGCATAGTTTTTGCAAGATAAAAAAAAGAACAATTAAGTTAGGCGGGTATTTAAAAACCACAGGAATTCAACTAAAAAACATTGTTCATTTCATTAGAACAATAATCAGCAAAGTAAAAAATATATACGGTAATTTTAACATTTTTTAAATATAAAACTATATAAGTTCTAACTCAAAAAATCTTTAGCATTGCTACCATATTCAGTGTTCGTACTTCATATTTAAAGCCAAAGCATTTCTGAGATAATCAGCCGATTTAATAAAACATTGATGACCAACCTGAGGAGGATTAAAGGGGTATGTTTCAGGAATTTTGATTTCCAATTTAAATTTTCCTCCTTCATAGGCAGTGTCTGGCGGCCCAGCAATCTCACCCCTGAGCTCTGTGAAGTTATCGTTGAGTAATTCAACTTTTATATTGCATGCCGCAACCTGTCAAGAGCATAAAAACCCAGTCAAAAACATGTAACTGAAATAACCTTTCATTTGGCCTATAAGTATAAGTTTAAGATAACCACTGCCTTTGATCACAAAAATAATCACAGAACCTAGCCATTACCTAACTAAAACAAGCCTTGGTGACTAAGTTTAATAAGTTTTAACCCCTGGACACATGAGGCTTGATAGCTGGGGACATCTAGCAGTGAAATATAAAAAATCAAACAACTGTTGCCTTGAACAAAGGCTATGGAACTTATCCAAAATCCAAAAAGAAAAACAGACTGAAATCAAAGTCATCAGCCAACATGGTGCATACTGGTTGACATGTAATACTGAATAGGAGGATCCTGTCCAACATCACAAATTTGAACAAATAAAATACTCAAATTGTGATGGAAAAAATGCAAGACAAACTGCTGACTGATACAAGATCTAGATTTCTAGATATGACTAGAATAGATGTTAAGATTGTAGCTGGATCTTGAGTTTAGACTTTAGTTAGATCTAGATCTAGATTCTAAATCTTTAATGATACTTTAATCTAGTGACCTAGTCACTTGTACTTGTGTAGATTCTAGTGTAGTTGTAGTAGTAGATTAAACTAGATTTGCTGTTGTTGGCTCTTTACTCTTTACTAACTCATATTCATAACTGCTCAGACGAAAATGAGTAGTTTGAAGCCTGGACTAGAGTTCAAAAATAGATATTTTTTTTTGGTCGGAAAAATAAAAAATAGCCCCCCCCCCCCCTAGAATTTAGTTATTTTAAAAATAAAATATTTTAGTGAAAATACCTCGTCGCTCTTGACGACTTCTTTGAATTCCCGTTTAATACGCTGTTCGGCTATATTAGCCATGGTACTCGAACTTGCACCGCTGACAACAGATATATGAAATAGTTAGACAATAAAATTTGCAATCTAAAAAAAGACCTGATGCTAGACAAATGGTTTAGATAAAAATAAATAAAAGATTAGCAATATTTTTTGGCAACCAATCTAGCATAGAACTTCCGGTTTACCATTGGAAATGATAGCCTCGCATTAACTAAGAAAATAAAATAAAATTATCATTTAATATAGTTTAAAACATTTATTTAAAGTAATATCGCCTTTTCGGTATTATTATCTATGTGTTTTACGTACTAATTTACATTTTTTAATATATAAAATTTGGAATTTTAATAATAGTTTTTATGTAGTGCGTATAGTCTATGTACTGTAGCTTGTTTAAAAATCGGTTAGGCTAGAATCTAGTAAATATATAGTCTTAACACTACACTGATATCATTTTCAATTACCAGTGCAGTCAGTGTTTCTTCCAGACTTTTTTCACCGGGTGGGGGGAGGGCGATCAACATTTTTACGGGGGGGGGGGCACTGGTTAAAGTATGTTTTAGATATAAATTACATTTCGTTCGCCCCCCCCCCCCCCCCCCGAAGAGATGCCTTGAAGAAACTCTGAGCGCAGTAATAATTAATAATAGTTGAATGTCTAGTGTTAGGCAATATCTCAACAGTAGCCGTGTATGTGTGTGGGGACGGGGGATATTTAGTACGAAAGTCTTAAAATAAAAAAAAATTCTTTGATTTCATTATATATTTTTAGATCTATAGTAGCCCTCTCCACATGCTAATCAAATAGCTGATGGGGTGACGATGTCTTATCCATAGCGATTTACATTTGACCAATTATGCTAGCAGGGATTACATTATACTTTATACTGGGAGAGTGAGAAGACACACTTTTCAGCCGGATGCAGATGACGAAAGTCCATGTTTGTATGAATTCGTCTTTTGTTCGGACCAGGATCACGACGGGATGGTGTGAAACACCGGGCTAGAAGAAGACTGTTACCTGTCATCAGAGTTTCTTCCAGGCATCTCTACGGGGGGACGCCCGAAGAAAGTCTACCGCCCCCCCCCCCCCCGAACGAAATGGAATGTATATAGAAAATGTATATTTTAGACAGTGTCCGCCCCCCCCCCCCCGAAAATTGTTGTCCGCCCCCCCCCCCCCCCCCCCGAAAATTTCAAGTGCACCCCGCAGAGGCGTGGCGACCCTTCCCGGCGCCCGGGGACATACTTTCGATTTGCACCCCCCTCGATCTTTTAATTTGCACCCCCTCAAACTTTCCATTTGCACCCCCCCCTCAAACTTTCGATTTGCACCCCCCCCCCCCTTCGAACTTTTGATTTGCACTCGTAGACTCTAGACAGTGTCCTAATTTGCATGTATTTCATACTGAGAAGTAAACACATTGTTGGTTGTTTTTTTCCCTAGAATTACGGTTATTTTCGTATTAAGCTAGATGGGTGGAGTTTTGTGAAACAATTTTAATGCGTCTGACCTTTTGTAACGCACATATGATGATGGGAAATAGAAATTTTGTACAAAAATCAATTATTCTTTTTTTTTTAACTTGTTTTCTTTTGGGTTTCCGTTAAAAGTAATAAATTATTTGGACAACTTCAGACTGATTGTAAAATTATTTTAAAAAAAAATTCAATTCATAGTCAAAACTGATACTTTCTTTTGTTATTTCTAATCGTGCCATAATATCCTGGGAAATATAGGCTATATGACATGCCTATAATAGTACTCGGGACAACATTTTAATTGAAGTACACTAAACAGCCTTTGCGAGGCAATTAAACCCGTAGTATAGTACAGTAATTTGGCATCAGTGTTGAGAATATTTTTAAGTATCTCGACTACCCATAACGTTATAATTGCTGAGTTGGTTTCAAAGAATATATAGCATAAAGACATCGTGTTAATGATTATGTTAGTATGTCATAGATCTAGTAAGTAAATCATAGTAGTCTAGGCCAGGGGTCGGCAACCTGCGGCTCGCGAGCCGCATGCGGCTCTTTTGATATCAAGATGCAGCTCTCCGGCTCCTTGAACAAATACTAATAATCTTAATAAAAAAATAAAATATTTGAAATAAAAAAAAATGTTAGTGGCTCTTTAAAACCAGGGAAATTTTGAAAATTGTAACTTTTGGCTCTTCCGCTTCAAAAGGTTGCCGACCCATGGTCTAGGCTAAATTAAGATGTTAAATGGGCAGATTTTTTAAACATCGTAAATGTAAATATTAGACAGGCGCTTAGAACATGCGACGTATGACTAATAATATTTGCGATTCCGTTCTTTAAATATAATTTACTTAAAATAATAAATAATTAATTGCAACACACGTAACTTACCTGTTCATTACACATAGCACATGTGTCAAAATCACAATTTTAGCTGCGTTCGTGGATCAATTTACGCGTCATGCACTAAAACGTTGTGCTCATTAACGTATATTCCCGATTAATGAATGGTACACAATCTAACATAGAACGTTAACAGTGATTCCATTATAAAGACTAATTTAAGTGCATGTGTGTTTGGGGGGGGGGGGGGGAATTGCAGACAGGATGGGCACATTAAAAAAAAGCCTGGGCGTCAATTTAAAAAAAAGAAAATATATAGGTATATATATATATATATATATACATATATATATATACATATATATATATATATATATATATATATATATATATATATATACCTATATATTTTCTTTTTTTTAAATTGACGCCCAGGCTTTTTTTAATGTGCCCATCCTGTCTGCAATTCCCCCCCCCCCCCCAACACACATGCACTTAAATTAGTCTTTATAATGGAATCACTGTTAACGTTCTATGTTAGATTGTGTACCATTCATTAATCGGGAATATACATATATATATATATATATATATATATATATATATATATATATATATATATATATATATATGTAACGAGCGAACAGTTACCCTGCTCGCAACGCCACATGTTACGAGACTATTTGCCTGTAGTGCCAAATGTAACGAGTTTAACCACTCATGCTACACAACATCGACTACAGTAGAAATACTCGAAGATGCAGGTTCGCTATTGATCCTTTTATTACATGAATCAAGAAATGCTTCAATATAACACAATGAATCAACAGGAATGCTTCACAATAATAGTCTGAATCAACTGACCCCTAACAGTCCTCACTAGGCTTCATATAACTGAATCCACATGTCTATTGTCCTTCTTAACACAATATAACCAACTTGATATGTCACACAGACTGACTGATCTAAAGCGAGCGATGAAGAGAGCGGGCGATCGAAAAGGGAAGAGCCGCGAGTTCAGCCGTCCCCTCCTATTTATCCCTTGTATTCGTACTCGTATTCGTACTTGTATTCCTCCGTAATCGATACTTGTACTCGATGTCTCCGACTACTAGTTGCGCAGTTCTAACGTACAGTCCGTTTAATAAAACATCTGCGTCCTATCAATCAAAGTTGACAGGCCGTCTGAATCCCCTCGTACCGTTTCCCAAAATAGCACGCGTTGGCTTTGAGATTGTTATCATTCCGATCTAATAAGCCACCTGCTATCAGTTGCATCAGACTGTAATACTGCGTCTCGGCTTATCGTTCGTTATCAGTTGCATCAGATTTGTAACTAGTAGCTAGGCCTACCCTAGTTACATCCACCCCTGCCTTTTTTTGTGTGTTTTCCACCACAAACAACGCCTGGCAGGTGCACTCCTCCAAAGTCAATCGCACAATCGTAAAAATTTTTTATTGTTCCACTCACTGTCCACGTCGTCCCATTCGTATACGATTGACAGTTATACCTATTTCACATATCAACTGTGTCTACATCATCTTCCTGAGACACAAAACAGTTCTAGAATTCACATCCACCCTTTTCGTTTGGTGCCTTCACCAGTTCACTTTTATAGCTTTTTGAACCGTCTGTTCTCATACCAGCGCGACCATGAAAGAATTGATGGTTGCTGACAAAAAATTTCGTCTTCCTTCTGTTCCTCAAACTTCTCCGCGGACCACTTATCTGATGGTCTACTGTCTCTCTGCTTCTGGAAGGAACGGGATCCTCTTTGTTGCCGTTATCCTCCACTTGTGTATCGCGGTTGTTCTGTTGATGGTGATATGGTTCCGGGATGGGTATGTGAATTTCCGTTATAGTTTCCGGTTCCCTAATTGTCTTGGATTTCCTTGTGTGTAACTGCTCTTCTTGCCTATTCCAATATTTCTTTAATTGAGCAATATTCGCCCACCGATCCGGTTTGGCGTGATCGATGGGTCTTATCTTAAAGGGGCCACCTGCTACTTTAGGCATCTCCACGACTTGCCATATCTCCTGTCCCCAGAGATCGTGGATTTTGTTTCTGCCTAACGGGTGGCTACGCAGTAATACCCTGTCGTTCAGTTTGAGTGGCGGGTCCTTTGTCTGTACCGGCGGTTCCCTTCGCCGTGCTTCATGTTCTAGTCTTTCCTGTACTACCCTGTACATTTCTCTAATTCTTCTCATATGTTCATTCACATATTCCAGTGCGGTGTATGAGCCAGTCATACTCTCCCTTTTTCCTAGGAACAAATCAAGAGGGAGTCGAGCCTCCCGTCCGAACAGCAACATGTATGGCGCAAAGCCGGTTGTGGCATGGGGTGTGCAGTTGTATAGATATACCAACTCTGGGAGAAAATCAGGCCAACGTTTTTTCTGTTCAGGTTCTAGAGTACGCAGCAAATCATGCATGCTGCGGTTGAACCGCTCGCACTGTCCGTTTCCTTTCGGATTAAATGTGGTTGTTCTAGATTTGTTGATCCCGTAGTGGCTGCACAGTTGGTTAATTACTTCTGACTCGAAAGCCCTTCCTTGGTCAGAGTGTAATTGTCTTGGTATGCCATATTTGATGAACCAATGTTCTATCAAGACCTTTGCCACTGTTTTGGCAGTCTGATCTCGTGTGGGCACCGCCACAGTCCATTTGGTGAATACATCAGTCATTACCAACACATGTTCCGTCCCATCCGATGATTGCTCCAACGACGTAAAGTCCATAGCCACAATCTCTAGTGGTTTTGTCGCTAGTAGGTGTCCTGATGGCTGTCTCATTTTGACAACTGGCATTTTCGCATGCTGACACCTCACACAAGCCTCACAATGGCGTTTGACCTCCATTTCCATATTGGGCCAGTAACACCTCCGTCGTAAAATTTTGTGCGTCCTGTCCTGACCCTGGTGTCCTGCCCTGTCATGTGCCAACCTTAGCACTTCTTCTCGTAACTGTCCAGGCACCACCACCTGGTGTATTGTCCCATCAATTTGGTCATGAATTCTCCGCATGAGAACACCATCCTCTATACTGAGACGGTCCCACTGACTCAGTATTTTCTTTGTTTCTCGACCAAATTGTTCTCTTTCCCTTCTTCCTGGGAATTTTTGTTCCTGGATGTATTTCAATAGCGGTTGTAAGCCACTATCCGTTCTCTGGGCATCTCTTATCTTTTTGTGATTAAGGCAATTAAAATCACTACTGTCCATATGTCCGGGCTCTGTGGATATGTGCTCCACCCCGGTCTGTCCGTTCTGCCTCACTTGCACCCCGTGAGGGATATCTGTTGACGCTCTGACCTCACATATTCCTGTCAGCGTTTCTTCCTCATCGCCCGGTCTCTCGTAAGGATTCCTTGATAAAGCGTCCGCATTGCCATTGGACCGCCCCGGGCGATGTTTTCTCTCTAGGTCAACGAGTGCCAATTCTGCTGCCCATCGCTGTTCGATGGATCCCAGCCTTGCTGTACTTTGAAGTTCTTTTTCAATATCGGATAATTTCTCTTCAAGTCTTGTTTGAGACTCTTTCATTTCTTCTAGTTTGCCAACACTGTTCTGTTGTCTACTATTTTTATTTACTTCTTCCGATAACAGACACTCTAAAGATGAATATTTCTCCTGTGCTTTTAATTTGCATGACCTTTCCCTATCCAGTTTCCTGGTTAACATTGAGATCTCATTCTTAAGTCTACCAATTTCCTTCTTATCATCATTTTTCTCTACCAACAAATTGTTCACTTGAAACTTTTCAACATCCCAGTTCATTTCACAGTTCATTTTTTCCATTAGTTGTGTTTTACCTTTCTTTTTCTCCTTACTGTGTTTCTGTGTCATTTTGTTTACTAAGTCATTACCTCGCCGCTCTGTAGCCTTGACCTGCCGTACAGAGGGCGATCGTTTCACCGGACAGTACCGTGCCATATGTCCGGGTTGTGAACAGGACAAGCAAATTGGTCGACCGTCGGCCGTCCATTGGAGTGATGGAGCGGCAGGTCGCGGCTGTCCAACCTGTCTCTGTTTTGTCCCGTTTTTGCCCTGATTCTCAGCTGTTGACCTGCTTTCTAACCTCTCCAATCGTTGGTCAACCTTAACCAGGTGGGCCAACAGTTGAGCCATCATGGTCTCCATCGTGTCGGCCCCTGTGGGTGGGGATTGTCTCAGTTCAGGCACAGAGACTTTGTCCACCGAACAGTTCGATTGGTCCTCATCCTCGGACCTGCGGATCGCTGAGTTCCTGACCTGAAGGAAGGTCAACTGCGGGTCTTTGTGGACCTCCTCTTTCAACTCTCTTCTTAGGATCGGGGTTGCTAGCCCCTCGATGAAATGGTCCCTCAGTAGGCGCACATCAATGTCAGGTGTTTTGACCTTTACCGAATCAAAGGCCCTGTTCATCCGGTGTGAGTACTCCATCACACTCTCCGCCATTCTCTGCCTTAAGCCTACGAACCCTGCCAGCAGTTGCGATCCCGACCGTCTCTCCCCAAAGGTCTCCATAATCAGATCCAGCACCTTATCTGGATCTGATTGGATGGTTTTATCGTGGCATTTGACCTCTGCCCTAACCGTCTCTCCTATACTGCCCATCAGCAGTCTTAATCTTTCCTCTGGTGACATGCCTCTCGAGGCCCAGGCCGCTTTGACCTCTTCACTGAACCTGTTGGTTAAAGTTGGATCACCGTCCCCGTAAAATTTGTTAATGTGGGACTCTCTGGGTAGGACCACTATATGGGTCTGCTTCTCGTCCAGAGTAGACATTTTATTCCGTAAGTAACAAAAAAAGAGTTCTTTCTTACCGTGTGTGTATGAAAAATTTTTCTCGTTCCTCAATTTTCACAGTTCCTGAATGTCCGAATTCACACACACACTAAACACAGTTATGCACAAGGTTGACTATGGGTGCCTAAAGCGGCAAGTCTAGTTGAATTCATCCTGTCCGACGACGCCAATTGTAACGAGCGAACAGTTACCCTGCTCGCAAAGCCACATGTTACGAGACTATTTGCCTGTAGTGCCAAATGTAACGAGTTTAACCACTCATGCTACACAACATCGACTACAGTAGAAATACTCGAAGATGCAGGTTCGCTATTGATCCTTTTATTACATGAATCAAGAAATGCTTCAATATAACACAATGAATCAACAGGAATGCTTCACAATAATAGTCTGAATCAACTGACCCCTAACAGTCCTCACTAGGCTTCATATAACTGAATCCACATGTCTATTGTCCTTCTTAACACAATATAACCAACTTGATATGTCACACAGACTGACTGATCTAAAGCGAGCGATGAAGAGAGCGGGCGATCGAAAAGGGAAGAGCCGCGAGTTCAGCCGTCCCCTCCTATTTATCCCTTGTATTCGTACTCGTATTCGTACTTGTATTCCTCCGTAATCGATACTTGTACTCGATGTCTCCGACTACTAGTTGCGCAGTTCTAACGTACAGTCCGTTTAATAAAACATCTGCGTCCTATCAATCAAAGTTGACAGGCCGTCTGAATCCCCTCGTACCGTTTCCCAAAATAGCACGCGTTGGCTTTGAGATTGTTATCATTCCGATCTAATAAGCCACCTGCTATCAGTTGCATCAGACTGTAATACTGCGTCTCGGCTTATCGTTCGTTATCAGTTGCATCAGATTTGTAACTAGTAGCTAGGCCTACCCTAGTTACATATATATATATATATATATATATATATATATATATATATATATATATATATATATATATATATATATATATATATATATATATATATATATATATATATATAAATATATATATATATATATATAATTTTTTTTTTGCAGTGGGAGGCACGGGCTGTTTTGACGCAAGCCTAATGCTTGGCTTGTGATTTTTTCCCCGTAACCCCTCCCCCGCGCTTTATAACTCTTGATATACCATTGCCAGACGAGAGATCCTGCACGTATATGTGCTGGTTGCATTCGTTGTTTCATATAATATACCGTGCACAACATCATCCACGCACGACGAATTAATCAGTAGCATTGCATACTGTCATAGCGATCAGGGCATAATAATTTTAATAATAAGAAACCGAATGTTAGGCCTATGTTATTTATTTTTATTTTTTATTTTTTATTTTAAGTTAGGATAATATATCTCTATAAGGCTTTTTAGGGCTTATTAATGTTTTTTTTTTTTCAATGTAATTAAATTAAAAATAAGTAGTTCTATAAACGTTAAGTCAAATATTTAAAATACGTTACTTTGAAATTTAGTTTGCATTTTTAAGAACATTTCAATAACAACTTCACTAAAAGATTGCAGTTACTGTAAAACAAAAATCAATACCTTTGTGAATATAGCTAAATCTATTTGACTACAGATTGTCTTTATATACTTTATTATATGTAAGTAGGTCACTGTAGTCTCGGGCTTTCAGACGTAAAAGGGCAACAACACATGTTGAATCTAGATCGCGCTGAATCTGAAGTAGAGGGTACAGGGAGTAAACAGATTACTAGAAGAATGCCTAATATCAAGGTATTTGCTGGTACATCTCATCCTGATTTAGGACAAAAAATATGCGCCCGACTTGGTCTTGAACCTGCGAAAGTCGTTACGAAAAAATTCAGCAATGGCGAATGTTGGTAAGTTACTGTGTTATTGTTACTTTGAATACTTTCACTCAGTATCAATAAAAATAAAATGCTAAAAACTAAAAACTAAAAATAGACTTTCACTGTGGCTAGGCTTCATAATTTATTATATAGACTTCTAGATCTAGATCTAAATGTTAAAGGGTGTCATCCATAAATGACGTCACGCTTTTTTGGACGATTTTTACCTCCCCCCCCTTCCCTCCGTCACACGTCACAAAAAGCCAGACCCCCCTAAAATCAAAATGACGTCACACCTCAACCTACAACCCCCCCCCCCCTCAAAATTGCAGTTGAATTTTTTTAAAACATCGATATTTTTCTAAAATCTTGTCTAAGTCTAAACTATTAGGCCCTACAATTTATTAAAAATTAAAACAGTTAGGCTAGGGACTTGGATGAAATTTCATTTTTAAAAAAATAAAAAATGTAGTAGCACCAGTTTATAGAGCTCATTTAGACAAGAACAAAGATACTTTTATTTTAATTTTAGCTCAAACGGTTACGAAGTTATGAATTTTTAATGTATTTAATTTTCGGGTTTTTTTACTATGGGGTATTCTCAATTTTTTGCTTCCCTCCTTTTTTATATACGAACTAAAATCTCTGTAACTTTTTAAATAGCAGGTATTTTTTAATGAAAATTCACTAAGATCAAGCTTATGATATCAGTAAAAGAGTAAGACAAAAATAATTGAATTGGATGAGAATGATCATAAAAAATAATGTAAACAAAGAGGGTCACCCCCCTAAAATTTTTGAATAAGCGTCTTTGATAGGCTACACACAATCTGTTGCCAAATTTTTATTATATGGAATATCGGTGCCCTGTCAAAACGGCCCGGGACAAATCGGCCCCGTCAAAACGGCCCCGTTAATACGACCCCGTCAAATCGACTCCCGACAAACCGACCCCGTCAAAATAGCCTCGTCAAAAAGGCCCCGACTTATTGGCTCCCGTCAAATGGGCTCCCGTCATATTGACTTGCGACATATAGGCTCCCGACAAATGGGCTCCCGATATTTAGGCTCCCGACAAATGGACTCCCGACATATTAACCCCTGACAAATAGGCTCAGGACATATTGGCTCCCGACAAAGCGGCTCCCGACATATTGGCTCCCGACATAAGGGCTCAAGACAAATGGGCTCCCGGCAAATGGGCTCACGACATTTTGGCTACCGACAAATGGGCTCCCGACATATTGTCTCCCGGCAATTGGGCTCCCGACATATTGGCTTTTGACAAAATGACTCCCGACATATTGGCTCCAGAAAAATGAATGATATGACCACTATTGGCATAAAAGTAACCATTGCGTCCTACCTCCAATACCACCATAACCTCTTTTTAATGCCCGAATGAAATTATTTTTTCATGAACCAACATTAATTCACAAACAAATCGAGCCCTTAACAACTAAATTCCACCAATTCTAAAGTTTTGATAATGTTTAATTTACAACAGAAAAGATCTGTTGCTTAAAAGCGAGCACAGAAGTGTAAATGTATGATATACATGATGTTAACATGATAACAGCATTTTGTTTTGATAACCTACAAGCACAGTGGCGTAGCGAGGTCGGGTGTCACCCCCGGGGACAAACTTTCATGTTTTCGATTTGCACCCCCCCCCCAAACTTTCGATTTGCACCCCCACCCCCTCAACTTTTTCTCTATATATTTTGCTATTTTTTGCCTTGGTGTCACCCCCCTAAATGGTGTCACCCGGTGCGGTCCGCACCCCCGCCCCCCCCCCCCGCCCCTCGCTACGCCCCTGTACAAGCATATTGCAGTTAGGAAGGTACAGCGTGGACCCTTCTCCCCACACAATGAGTTGGAACAGCCTATAACCGACTCAATTATGGATGTCATAGATAGATGACCCTTAAATTAAAACATACTATATTTTATAATAGATAAACTAATATAAAAATAAGGCCTGCCGAACAAGAGATGCATACGTTGTATTACATAAGAGTGTTGGATAAGCTAACTTTAAAGAATATTGATGAAGGGGTCCCACTGGCAGATGTCATATTCAATGAGACCGCTTTGCCGGGAGACTTAGTCTCTACAGAAACGGTATTGTCAGTGCAGTGGCGTAGCTAGGATTTTTGGGCCCCTATGCAAAAATTATCAGTGGGCCCCTTCGTCAGCCGTTAGGCCAGTGGCGTCGCTAGGTCGGGTCTCACCCGGTGCGGCACTTCGTATTGTCACCCCCTCCCAGGAAACAAAGCATATATATATATATATATATATATATATATATATATATATATATATATATATATATATATATATGTGTGTGTGTGTGTGTGTGTGTGTTTGTGTGTGTGTGTGTCGGCCTACATAGGCCTAAAATTTATATATATGCCACTTACTGGTACACGTACGTGTTTAAGCTTTAATCACTGCTGACTTAATAGTAACGATGTTTATCTACAGTCTGTTTATAATACAGTTGGATGTAGCATTGTTTTCTTTATAGTTTACGTTTACGTCGTGGTGTCACACCCCCCCCCCCCCCCCCCCCTCTTGATATAATTTTCGATTTGTACTTAGAAGACTATTTAACTTTAACTAACGGATCTGGAAAATGGCATTTCATTCTATAAATTTTACAATTTTTTGCCTTTGGTGTCACTCCCCCTAAATGGTGTCACCCGCCTCGCCTTTGCTACGCCTCTGCGTTAGGCTACAGAGGAGTTAAACGAAGAGATCAACTTCTACTTACGATGGATATTTTTTAATATATAAATATTCTGAAGGCAACATTTTGTATTATATATGTCCTGATTTTGTATTTATACTATATTATTATGCTTGCCTACTACTGCTAAAAAGTTTATTTATAGGCTGATTCTCTCAATGTCTTGCACGACAAAGTGATATAGCCTGTAGTGTTATTATAACGATTGGGCTCTGTTTGACCCACAAACACTGAATCCCACTGCCGAAACGTTGTGTGTGTGTGGGGGGGGGGGGGCTTTTTGGAACTTTTAACCTTTTTCTTTTTTAAAATTATTTATATGTAACAAATATTAAAATTCCATTGTTAAAGTTTTATTTTTTTATGAGGGAAAAGGGCCCCTATGTGCCTTGGGCCCCCATGCCTTGCTTACGCTAGCTTTACGGTAGCTACGCCACTGTGTCAGTGGTCCTTTTGTCTGGAGCCAAATTGACAGGAGCCTTTTTGTCGGGAGCCAAAATGACGCTAGCCTATTTGTCGGGAGTCGTAATGACGGGGGCCGTTTTGTGGAGAAACCAAATGGCGGGAGCCTATTTGTCGGGAGTCGTAATGACGGGGGCTGTTTTGTGGAAAAAACTAAATGACGGGAGACTATATGTCGGGAGCCAAAATGACGGGAGCCTATTTGTCAGGAGCCTTATTGACTGGAGCCCTTTTGTCGGGAGCCTATATAACGGGAGCCTATTTGTCGGTAGCCTAAATGACGGGAGCCTATTTGTCGGTAGCCTAAATGACGGGAGCCTATTTGTCGGGAGCCTATATGACGGGGTCCATATGTCGCTGGCCCTTTTGACGGGGTCGTTTTGACGGGGTCGTTTTGTCGGGGTCGTTTTGACGGGGCCGTTTCGTCATTGGCCGAATTGACGCCGCACGGGAATATCTTACTGAAAATTGGCCTGAATAGTGCCAACACTGTATACATTAACAGAAAGTCAAAATATTTTACTTAGCTTATGTGGTTTTATTACAATGTTGGACAAAATAAAAAAGTCATTTTTATTCTGCGCAACTACTTTTTTTGCAAGAAAGAAGTACAATGTTGAGCTGATTTTAGATTACTTTGCTTATATGCAAGAAATATTGTAAAAATGAAGGTTATTATATACCTACTTTGATATTTCCTTTGTCCAGATTTGATCTTAAAAATATTTTATTTAATGAAAAAGGGGTTTAAACTCATATACCCCCCTTAATTTTAAACAATAAATTCTGCTATAGGCAACACATAATCTGTTGCCAAATTTTTATTATATGGAATATCTTAATGAAAATTGGCCTAATTGGTGCCAACATTGTATACATCCACACAAAGTAAAAATATTTCACTTAGCTTATGTGGTTTTGTTACAATGTTGGTCAAATTTAAAAAGTCATTTTTGTTCTGCGCAACTACTTTTTTGCAAGAAAGAAGTACAATGCTAAACTGATTTTAGATTACTAAAATTGTATCTAAATGTTGTCAATATGCATGATATTTCATCCCTGTTATGTGTATGTTATCATAGAATTGATATAATTTAATTTACAATTATTGTTGAACAAATAATTTAATAATTGAAATGATTTTTTTTATTGGTGGAGTAATGATCACCATTTAATGTTAAAGGTAAGTTTTATAATTAAGAAACATCTGTCATATATTTAAGTGACATCTCATGCTGTGTGGATAACATGTTTAAGTCTGTTAGCTTGTATCACTTTTTTACTTTAAAAAATAACACCATCAATGATTTAAAAATGAAATCTGATTAAACATCTACTGAAGCTGTGTCTCCTCTGACTGATAGCTTTTAGAACTGTAATAAAAACCAGCAACATCCATTCTTAAGTGGACCTATTTCTCCTTCATTGAAGTTGCTTATGAGTAGATCCACATCTTTTGATTCTCTATCCCCTTGTGAACTGGTACATTTTATCTAGGGCCAAGACTAGTAAAAAAGCAACTGAGATGTATACTACAGCAAAAATACAGTAGTATCATATGTACTTCAAATAGGCCTACAGATGAAGACAGAACATTGTACAAGGATTGTAGTAATTTAGTAATAAATCTAAAATGAACAAAGTCCTAGAGCTATAAAGAAAATATAGGACTCCTAAAATGTTTGAATATTAGTAATATTGGTAATAAAAATTCGCTTGAAAAGCAATCAAAAGGCTAAATGTTTAATATAGAATTACCCTATTGGCCTATATCTTATTATAAGAAAATTTATAGACCAAATGATAGGCAAATGGAATTTTATATTAGATTCTAGATCTAGGCCTATATCAAGCTTTAAAATTTAAGAAAAATGTGGAAAGTACACAAGATACTATAATGATAGCTAATATAAAATATAGAACTCATTCAAGAACGATATAGATCTATATCTAGGCCATACAATTAAAATGAAACAATAATTCAACTTGAAAAATTTCGCAGAAATCTATTTTTAGATCTAACTCAAAATTACAAAAAAAATGAATCTAAATAGAAAATATGCGCACAAAGTCAACAAAAAATCATAGTTTTATCAATATAAAATATAATTCTATAGTTTAAAATGATTTTAAAGTCAGATTCGTGTGGATGTTGCTGGATTTACAAATCAATTCAATTGAGAGCAATGGCGTCATTAACAACACAAGTACACTTCCGGTTTCAACCTCTGTCTTTCCCGGTAGTCGTAAAATGGCTTAAGGCTATACTTTCTAAACTATTTATAAAAAAATACTTTGCTATCGATTAACATTATGAAAATTTACACACATAAAGAAAAATGGTGATTATGGTCGGAGGGCTTTTTAATGGCCTTCCTTGTTAGTAAGTTTTTATGGTACAAAGAGTTTTACGTAGCCAAAGTTTGGCTCCAAAAATCCATTTTCACCTTCAACAAAATCTCAAAACAAAAATACCGTAACATATGAAATCCATTTGTTTTTCAGAATCAGTCATCAAATTATTATTAGCATCCGCGATTTTTAATAAAAAAAATTTTTTTCGATCATCACCCGCGACCGCGCGGCTAAATCGACGAAACTCGGTATGGGCAGAAAACTCTCGTTTTTAGTGGCTCAAAATCTACGTCATCCAAGTCCCTAAGTTAGGCCTATCTAAAACGCAAAACATTGCTTTTTTATAGGCCTAGGCCTAATGCAAAAGTGTGACGCAACATCTGAACCCCCCCCCTCCCCCTCATCACACATCGTCACAAAATTATGGACCCCCCTCCCCACTACGAGTGTGACGTCATTTATGGATGACCCCAAAGATTAGAAATCTATGGTAAAACTCTATTTTAGCGTATTTTATTCTCCGCTTCTTGTTTACCTCCTGTTGAGCGTATTTTATTATAACAACCGAAACACACCAAAACATTAGGAAAACACGATTTATTTATTTGTATTGTATTTTTGTTTTAACAAATGAATAAAAAAACAAAGAGACTGACTTTGTTTTGGATTTTGATAATTTACTTTTGTCAAAACTTAAGAAAAATCCAAATTTAGAATATTGAATGTGCAAGGCGGTTAAGTTTGTATTGTTACAAGTATCTCCCAGGCATGATACTATAAATAAACATTAATGAACTTGCAATGACCCCAAAACTGAGGCCAACACAATTTCAAACAGCTATTGCCCGAGCTATGACGTATGCTGATAATTAAAGTTAATGTGAACTCACGGTGAACCCGCGACTGTGTAAGGATTTTTCTCCCACTGACGTTCACACGATATTTCTAATGCTTTTTTATGTTTTTTTTACCTTTTCTAATTAAAAATCACATTCATAAAAAAATAAGTAGATCTAGTGTTTTCCTAACGTTTTTGTGTGTTTCGGTTGTGTTTATAATAAAATATGCTCAACTGGAGGTGAACGTGAAGTGGGGAATAAAATACGCTAAAATGGAGTTTTACCGCAATCTATAATCTAGATCTATACTATGTGCTTATGTCAAGCACGGTGATGTTCAAAGGCAATATATCAGGTGGCTTTGGTGTTCCACTTAGAATTTAGAAGAAAGACGTTAATAAATTATCATCACTTCTGGCCACTTCTGGAAAAAAAAAACGTACTTAGGGCCTATAACAATACACGAAAAAAAGCCTTTGAATACGTCCTTAGGGCCTATAACAATACACGAAAAAAAAAAGCCTTTGAATAATGCATCAAAGTTAATTGTAAATCAGGTGCGGTCACAGACACCTTTGCATTTTACCCAAACCCAGCTTAAGAATCTGGTGGGGGTAAGATGCAAGACAAAAGGACACATGACCGTTGGTTTTGCAACGAAGCATCTTTTTGGCTTCAAATTCCTTTTTGGTATGACTGTTCCTACTTTTGGTCACCATAGGTAGGCATGTCTGCTTCTCGCCATTTACCGCCTTGCCGTTTCATGTCTCACAATTTACCAACATCCTCTGACAAACACTTGTGTATCTTTTTTCTCGCTGATTTTAAACCCACACATTACGAATATAAGTTAATCGTACTTGAATGCCCTACACACTAATATAAAATTATTATTTATTTATTAGGCCTAAAAATAATTACTTAGGCCTAGTTTAAAAGAAAAAAACAGAGTTAATTTTTTTCTGGCACGAAATACGCTTCTGTTGGAAAAATTATTATGATAAGAATTACTTTTCATGAGTTCTTATTTATAGAAAATAAAAGTACGTCCATTTTTCTATAAAAATCATGGATAGAATTAGTCTTAGCATAAATACTTTCGTTTAGGTTAATTTTTATCATGCGGCGACTTAAAGGTTTCGGCGTGGCCACGGAACGGCATTCTGCAGTGTTATAAAATGCTGTTTTGAAAAAAAAAAATTTCCATAAAATACAAAAACAAGAAAACTACAAGAAAATTCAAAGAAAAATTACCTCGATTTAAAATTAAAAACTTGGATTCTGAAAAACCATGTATTTAATAGAGAAAATTTTATCAGACTCTGAGAACGTCGTAGCAGCATTGCAGGCCGGCTTTTCGTTCGCTGGGAGCATTGTTAGTCTTAAAAGAGTTAAGAGAAAAAGTACTGGAAGTTGCAATAGATTAAAAATATTTGATAGCATTGTGATCTTGAAAAGTGTTGAATATTTATTAATACAGCTAGAAATTACTATTAGGCCTAATTAGAGTGCATAATTAATCATTTATGTAGCAGATAAGAACAAGGGATCTTAATACTTTTTCTTACAAAAATAAAACACAAACTATCTGAGTTGATTAATACAGTGAAAATCCTCTACCCCAGTAAAAAATAATCCTACTTTTCCTTAAAGTCTGTGTTGTACTTTGTAATGTATAGTAAAGAATTAGTTTGTGTAGAAAACTAATACTAATTTCTGCTGTTGATGTATAATTTATGCACATTTTCACTAGTTTATGTTATTTTGTTATTCATTGCTTTCTCGATATTAACAGCTAGGTGCTGGTAACCTTTTTTATGCAGCTCTAGCAATTTTGTATAGATATAATAAAATAATAAGTTCTATCAAAACTTCTCTTCCATTTGACAGTGTTGAAATTGGAGAGTCTGTGAGAGGGGAAGATGTTTTCATCGTTCAGAGTGGCTGTAAGGAGGTGAATGACATGTTGATGGAGCTCCTCATCATGATCAACGCCTGCAAGATTGCATCAGCCAGCAGAGTCACAGCTGTCATTCCATGCTTTCCTTATGCCAGACAGGATAAGAAAGACAAGGTATGCATTGCTGTCATTCTAAAAATACATGGCCCTTATACTTTCTATAATAGTTTTGTCTTTTTCATTAACAGCTTTATTTATTTTTTCAAATTCTTTAGCCACAAGTTTCTTTAATTTGACAAAAGTTCAAGCAAATGAGTATCTTGTGTATACAGTGTATTGTGTGTTAATTATCATGGCATTTGCCATAATAATGCACATCACCTTTATTATTGGACTTTAGTGACTACTAAGACTGTCATTATGATGAGTCCACTTTCAAAACCTTAATCAACTTTTCAAATAACATTAGTTATCCTTAACAAAACGTCAACCAAGAGTATTTTACAGATTTTTTGTTCATAAAGATATGAATTAAAATTTGAACAGTGAAAACTAAAATAAAACTTTAGATTAGTTGGTTTTGTAGGTGGGACTCCCTGATGTCGTGATTTACTGATGTTGTGTTAAATTTATCTGGTTAACTTTACAGAGCAGAGCACCCATCTCAGCAAAATTAGTTGCAAATATGTTGTCAACAGCTGGTGCAGACCATATCATCACAATGGACTTGCACGCATCACAAATTCAGGTAAGCCTGTGTTGAGTGGTGCTTTATGTCATCACATTGTCCCATCTGCTGCATAATTGTTTCACATTTTACCATTCCATTATTGATTTATAATCATCAACTGACATAAAGTTTGGACTTTTGAAGATGTAAATACAACTCTGGTAAAAGCGATGGCTTAGCTATAGTAAATATTTTTCCTATCTTGGTTTGTGTTTTCTTTAAGATAATGCTGTAGAACCGCAGGTAAATTGCCTTAACCATCCCTAAGTTGGGTATTATGATCATGCAGTAACAGCACTCTCCTTTACCTCTCAGTGAGGTAACATTCAGAGTTCAGTGGATTCATAATCGCCAGGCTCTAGCCTCAGCCAAATCCCCGTGTGTTTATATAATACAGTTTTATTGATTTTTGAGAATATTTGCTATTGTTTTACATAGCAAGTATACTAGAGACTTACATAATTATTTTTTTTTTTTTTGTTAGGGTTTCTTTGACATCCCTGTAGATAACTTATATGCTGAGCCAGCAGTTTTGAAATGGATAAAAGAAAACATTGTTGACTGGCGTAACTGTACTATTGTGTCTCCTGATGCTGGCGGTGCTAAAAGGTTGGTTGATGACTCGGTTTAAAATGTTTTCTTTGGTTATTTCCCCACCAATCACATTTTATCCTTTTTGATTATTTGGTTAGGCTACTTATAAAAACTTTCGTTGGATCAATAATGTTTAATACAATTATTATTATAATTATTTTTTATAAACTTTGGTGGTTTCTAATTAAAACATTAAACATTCAACCCACCTTGCTAGAGAATCAACCAATCACTCTTCTCATAAGAAAATTCAATTATCTCACTTTTCTATTTTTAAAATGTAACCATTTTACTTTTCTATTTTTAAAATTTAACCATTTTACTTTTCAGGTTAGAAATTTCAACTATTTCATTTTTCTAGTTAGAATGCTCAATAATTTGACATTGATTATTATCTCTTTAAATAATTTTACTTTTTTAATTAGCATAGTTTATGCCCCAATCTTAGTCTCCAATCTTACTTAGCAAGCTAAAATTATTTGTTTTTCCTTAATTTTACTCCAGGGTAACAGCCATTGCTGATCGTCTCAATGTTGATTTTGCTCTGATTCACAAAGAAAGAAAGAAGGCAAATGAGGTTGCAGCTATGGTTCTTGTCGGCGATGTCAAGGATAAAATAGCCATTTTAGTTGATGATATGGCAGACACTTGTGGCACCATATGCCATGCTGCAGAAAAGTAATCAGAATAATTTTTTTTCATTAGCTTTTTTTTTAATAATTACATTTAGGATTTTACTAGCAAAATGTTTTCATTTTATGCAAAATTTCTGAAATTTTTTGGTAGGCAACTGTAAAATATTTAAGGCTGTGAAAATTGTAAGAAATTTAGTGGTCCGCAAAATAGAGTAAGCTATTAACAGCACTTTAAGGATAGTACGGTATATGGAGTTCATTTGTTTGATTTTCAAAAATAGATGTAGATCTTTAAGCTTTGATATAGTCATTCACAAAACATTCACAAAATGATTACTTTGGTTAATAAAATGAAAATGGCCAGTCATCATCAGTCATCATTTTTCTTTATTTTTGTTTTCATTAATGGAAGCCATATTGTAGTGGTATGCACTTTATTATGGTTAAGTCATAATCAGTTGAATCTACACTAATTACACGACTTAGTGGTATTCATTTTATGTCATCATATCAGCCGGAGCTGTTGTAACTATATGAAACATTGTTTTATTTCCAGGTTATTAGAAGCAGGGGCACTGAAAGTTTACGCCATCTGCACACACGGAATCTTCTCCGGCCCCGCCATATCTCGCATCAACAACTCCATGTTTGAAGCTGTGGTCGTCACAAACACAATTCCACAAGACCAGCGTATGAAGGACGCCCCCAAAATACAGGTAATCCTTTGCTCACAGAATTACCCCTTGCCCACTCTTTTGATGTGTTTATTCTTTAAAAATTTCCTTTACTCAACTTATTGAATGATGACACTAAATTTAGAAACAATGCTTCCTTGTTTAAAATACACCTTCTGTAAAAATCATAGGTACAACACAAATATTTTTGTTTTATTTGAAGTGACTTGCATTACCAGTATTCATTCATATGTAACTATTTTAACCTAACTAGAATCACCCAAGTGAAAAAAAAATTCCCCATATGAGAAAATAATTTAATTTATTACTTAAATATGCAATAAAGACCTTTCATTATAGATACATCTTTTAGAAAGCTAGTATATACCCCATGTTGAATAAATTGCCTTTTATGACGATAAACTATATTAGGTTTTCATGTCTCAATTTTCACACATTTTATTCCAATCCTTTTATTTTAAAAATAAACCCTGCATGCTCCATTAGCTACTTACCTGAATCAATCATACCTCAGGTGCCTGCACTTGTGACTAATCCATCAAATGCAAACTTGCGCTTGGTTTTGTTTTATCTTGTTAATTATTTGCCAATCAAATTTCATCACCACGAAAAGTCTGCTATTCCAGCGAAGTAGATTTTTTTCTTTGCGCAAGATTGTTGCCTTGCTGTTCTGTACGTTTTCTCGGGGCATGCTGAAGATTGGCTGCTAGAGATGTTTTTTACATAGGTGGGTATCGTTGTTTTAGCCCCATTGTAGTTATTTTAACAATTAATTGCTCACTTCACTTGTTCTCTGCTTGAAACATGGAGTTACTTTTGTACAATCTTTACAACCGGTATTATGAGTTTTCAAATAGTTTTTTTAAAAATTGTTTGTTGTTTGTTAAAACCTGTAACAACTTTTTAAATATCTAACCAGAAAAACAATATTGGATGTGCTATAAACATATTGCTACTCAAGAAAAAAGTTTTACTATCTTCTGTTTAAAATTTTATCATCCCACGTAACGTTGCTAATATATTTTTTAAATTTATTATATCTTTCAAGGAACTAGGCTTTGAATTTTTTAGTATTTTTTTTCCCTTTGCTTTAAGGGGGGGGGGGGGGGAACGGTAGTCAACTTGCATCAAAAATGATGATTTTTTTGTAAAAAATATTATTTTCAAAAATATTTTTTTTGGTTACATTAAGTAAATTTTTAATGTACCCAGATGATCTAAAGCCAGTTAAGTAATTTCTTGAGCTTAATACTTGAACATAATCAAGTAATACTAATGTTCCTACACAATCTTAAGATTAGTTTGGATGTTCCTATTTTTTTTTTTTTTTTTTTGTGAGTGATAATTTTGTTTAAAATTCAGAAAACTACAAAGCAAATTTCCATTGCCTAAGTAAACCTAGTTTTTTTTTTGGTTTTTACTTACTAATTTAATGTTGCACTTCATTAGTAGAATATGCATTTATTTTGCTTCTGAAAGAATTACTTTGCTGTGTGTTCAGATATATAGTAATTAGAATGCTATAATCCAGCATAAAATGACTTTTTGGAATGCACATTTTTCAATCTGTTATAATCTCGTTTGGATTATTCCACATAGTTTCTGTTTGCGGTGCTGCTTTTCCTACTCTTTACTTTTTTTTGGGGAATTAAGACCTGTTTTTTTTTTTTTAAATACATTTTTCTGAAAATTTTGTTTCCATGTTACTGTAGTTTGAGCTGGGTAACTTTGCTTTAGCCCTTTTTACTTTCCAACTAGAGTTGAGCATGTTGTATGGGCTCTAGATCAGAATGAGCTCTTGAGAGGGTTGGGTAAACCACAGCTTGCCCTACCACTGTTTGTTAGTCATCTATCTTGAAATGTGTTACATTGCAGCAAGTTAACAAATGTAAACTTAGAGTATTATTACAATGCCTGAGGTAGACATTGGTACATAAAATGCGGTCCCAGTAAAGACAAAACAGTCTACAATATGGTGTGATTAGAGCCCGCAATTCCTCACGGCACTGATTCGCCTTGTCTGCCTCCCTCCGGTCAGACATGTAAACACTTTGGCCAGCTAGTTCCCTGCAAGTTATGCTGTGTTGTTGTAGTGGTCACAAATAGACTGAGAGTTTGGAGTGGGGGCATTGCTTGACATAATGCAATTTCAAACTGCCATGGTAAATGATAGCTATACAGGGTGCGGATGAAGGTAAACATAATGAGAATCCATGGCATTTATGAAGTTCACGAGAATGGTCATTAATGATAATAAATAATTCTTAGTTGTGTGGGTATAATTAGATTAGAAGTTCAATTTATAATAATAATAATAATGATTCTTAGTTGTGTGGGTATAATTAGGTAAGAAGAATGGTCATTAATAATAATAATTCTTAGTTGTGGGGCTATAATTAAGATTAAGTTGTAAAGAACTAATGGCTTTTTAAATTCATTATCGGTGGAGTTGTTAGGGGTTGATTTACTGCAAAAAGTTTATTTCACATGAATACAAACCAACAATATAAAAATATAAAATACTGAACTTTTATTTGTCAGGGTCAGTCAAATCAATCCTAAAGCTAACAGTGTGGATGTCTTGTTTTATCATAGTGTTGTTTTATGTATGATGTTTAGTTTGAGAATAGTTCTGTATATCTTATAAAGTTGTAATGAATGTGCAGAATGTGTATGATACATGATAAATTGTGTTTGCTAGAAGGCAAGATAGTGTAGGTCTGTGTAAAACTACATAAATGTTGTACCCTCATGGTATATTTTATGTAGTTTTAAACTCAGTATGGTACGCACATTGAATACTTAATGACTAGAACAACTAGTTCTTTATTTTGTTCCATCTTGCAACATGTTTAAATTCCCATTTGTATGATTGCTAATTGAGATGTTTTCATTACATGTATTCTATGATATCTTTTTGTTCTCTGAAATCAAATTATAATCTGGACATAAATATTGATAGCTTTATTTACTTGTTTGTCTGCTTCTAATTCTTATCAAATTGTGTATTTTTAGCAAAGAGGTTCTACAATTTTTTATGTTGATTTGCTCTGCGCAGGCATCAAATTATTCTTACATGATGATTCAGTATTTAACTCATAAAACATTCTTTGGAAAAATTCTGTCAATCAGCATTTTGGTCTGTTTGTTTTAACTTGTTTATGAGTCACCATATATATAAGGCTTACATCCCATTTTCTTAGCTCTATTCATTAAGACAACTTATAGGACCTTCTTAAGCTTTGAAAGGTGGGCAAGAACTCAAGTATATTTAATATACAGCAGTTATAAAAAAAAAAACCAAAGTAAAACATGTATCCGGAGCTATGTATAATTCTAATTTAATATCATAATATACAAATAATTCTATTTTATTAATAACGAGTTAACACACTTAATGAAATTGCTTATATAAAAGAACTTGAGCTTAAAATATAAATTGTAACCCTGTCATGACTATGAATCTGTATGCAATTTAACCATTGATATGTCTGCTGTGATATGAGGACAAGAGTTGTCTGCCTTGTTGCCAATCAAGCCAAATTCAGTGCTGCTTCACTGTAGTTAATTAATTAATTAATAGCATTTCTTTATTAATAAATACAGGGATTTTATATTTGAGTGTTTGCAATTTTAGAAGTAGTTGGATTCTGTATTTTAAGGAAAATTATTTAAAATAGAATATCGATTTCATAATCCAAATAATGTCTGACGTAAGCAGATATAGTAAAATGTAGTTGGAGTCATGTAATAACTGATAAAATATTAGAGAGGGATTGGTTTGAATAAGGGTGGGGTCTAGTTAGGGTAGGTAATGGTCTTCTACTTAAAAGGAGTTACGTGAAAGCTGTGTATTTACCATGTTTAGGTAGGAAAGGTTAGAATATGGGTAACTTATGATTATCTACCATTAGTCGTTAAGGACATTCCCTCCCCCAGACTGACTGGAGAGATGCCAGAAATGGAAATGGCCTCCTGCTCAAGTTACAGGAGTCACTCTCCTGCTTAACCTATTCTAATATTGCTATAAATAAAATACTTATGTTTAAAAACTGTAGAGCAGACAATTGATCCAAATACCAGGTTTTGTTTGATGATGTATACACCTTTGTGTCTTTTCAGCTGATGGACATTTCCATTATACTGGCTGAGGCAGTCCGGAGGACACACAATGGAGAATCTGTGTCATACTTGTTTGCTCACGTGCCCATGTGATCCACTGTGACCTGTGGTCATGTGATCCACTGCGACCCGTGGTCATGTGATCAAAGACCTGTTGTTAGCCACTGTACCCCGTGTTGCACGTGGACATTTATTTCAAGCAGAAACGTGTTACATTGATAAAATGGTTACTTACTCAAAAATTAATTTTTATTGATATATCTTGCTAAGTAAATGCATACATGGATATTTTTTTGTTTTGTAAAGTATAAATCTAATCATTAACAGTATTTTTTTTAAAAATTTAGTTTTTTAAGGACAAGAGTGAAAGAAATAAAATGTTGGTTAGATGTGGGCCATAAATTAAGCACAGCTTCTGATGTATAATTTCATGAGAAAGACATTTTTTTAGAAATGTGCTCTAGTATACTTTTTTAATTTTTTAAAACCTTCATTAAATTATTGTCTTGGGGAAAGGATGTGGAAGTTTGGCAATGATAGTTTTTTTTAAGTAACGGTGTGAGATTGCTTAAAAAATAGATAAAACATAAAATTCTTGTCCGAAGAAAACTTCCTAATTTTTTTTTCCTGGTCTGGTCACATCCCTGTATTTTGACAAGTGGAAAGGTTAAAAAAATTAGCTAATAATATCATTCATCAACAACACCATTGGATATGTTTTGTTCCCCAGTTTGCTGTTGAATTTGTTTACAAAATGAGCTACATATACTTTCTTTCACATTCAGGGTCTCACTGTTTCACACTAATTTTTACACATAAATGGTCACACATTATCTTTCTTCAGTTAATTTTTTAACATCTGTCAACAATTCCCACTTTGTTAAAAGCTCAAAACATTTTAAATGACTGTTAGCTGTGTGAGAAGTTCAGGGAACAAGACAACTTGTGGTGGATTTTTTTTCCCTTACCATATCAGGCCTGTGATGGTGATCAGGTGACTTGGTCTTATTGATCCAGTATTTACTACAAATATGCATTTAATATTTGCCGTGTATCCGGTGGACCTTTCTTGCTTTGAAATATGTTGTGCAATTAGTTTACTTATCTATATGGCCCTATTAATCTAATTACACATTTTTTGGAAAAAAAAAAATTTTTTTTTTTCGTTTTTGCATTTTATTGTCATGTTGAGTTTTTGAGATAAAGCCTTTATAATAGTTAACTCAGTAGCCATTATCTGATTTAGGATTTTGGGCAATTTATTTACATCTGGCCCAATACATTTTACAGCTATACACAATTTAATTGTCTAGTTTTTCATAGCATATTGTCATCACATAAAGTTTTTGAGAGACACTTGTTTTAATACACTAGATCTATATCTGAATTTTGATTTTGGGATGATATTTTTTTTCTTTTACAATACTTGAAACGTAACATGTTTCTTTTCTTGGTTTAGTTAAAAAAAAGTTTTTAAACAGTTTTAGTTTCACTTTAATTTTATTTGTATAGATCTGCGACAGCTGTTTTCTTTCCCCTCACCCCCAATGTTATTTTTTTTTTAGTCTCACACATTTCCCTGTCACTATAAAGTTATGTTCCCACCCACTTTGGGTTCGGTCCTTTTGGACCCTTGTCATGTTCTCAAGATAAAATCCAGATATTCATTTTGTGGTTTTTTAGTTATTTGTATTTATGCATTAACCCATGCACACAATCATTAGAGCATCATTCTAAATTGTTAAAAACAATTTTTTTTTGTTGAAACCATATTTTTTATAGTCTACAATAAAAATATTTATGGTGACTGTTGGTTAAGTTATAAATGAGTTTAAACGTTAAAAATAAACTTACATGGCTTAGCAATTGTTTGGTGATCAAATACTTTGTAACATACTTTCATTACCTAACCTTCTACTTGGAATTCTCTAGAATTCATTCCAGTATTTTTTTGTTTGGTGATAAATAAATCCATTCTTTATCCATAGCTTTTAAGAGTTAACCTGATTAAAAACCTATTGATTATTATGTTAATTTAGGTTTTAGTCCAAAGAAAATACATCCAATGTCATTTTATGTTTAGCTTTTATGCAGTTTTTCTGTGTGATTGATTTCTATAATTCTTAGATTAATGGTAACATTGTGCACTATTTCATCACGCGCAAAATTTTCTTCTCAATTTAACATCAGCATAATCATAAGTTTTGGACTGTCTTCAGAGAGATGGGTCTATCAATACTGCCTTTATTTCCTATACAGTATTCTTTATTTTCAACAGCTGCTGTATTGAGTTTACAAATTTTGTGTGCCATTATATTTAAGAAGTTGTTGAAGCTAATTTGTTTTTATGCTAAAACCGTCATAAGCAATTTGTTTAATCCATGTTTTGTATTGTTGCATTTTTCAAAGTGTAGTAATTGCTGATTTTTTTCTTTTTCTGTATGAACAGAATTTTCATCATGATCTTACTGCAATCATTATGAAAAAATAATTATAGCTCACTGATTTATGATTCAGTACAATCGTTAGTTCTCCTCTATTGTATAGCAATACCAAACATAATCTTTATTAGTTTTTAGTTGTCCCTCTAGTTGATGTAACCAGTTTGTGTTATACCTTTCTGCACTAACCTGTAAGATTTTTTCTGTAATCCTCATGTATAAAATGTAATCTTTCACCTGATTTTAAAAATAACAGGAGTATAAATGAGTGATGAATACATTGCACAGACCTTCTGGCTTGAGGACTATTTTCAGCATGATTTAGTTGCTTTCATCAGTGTGTAGAAGTGACTTTTTTAGTATTATTTAATAAGTAATTTTTTTTTTTGAAAAAAAAAACTTACTTGAAATAAATAAACTTTTTTTTATCTACATAATTTCCAGAATCTTTGTTAATATTAAAGAATTTTTTTTTATAAAATACACATTTAAAAAATAAACAGTTTGTCTTCAATGGGTGCAAGAGGAGGTGTCTTGCATGTAAGTGTTGTATGTGTTATCTAAGTTCACTGACCCCAAAATTGATAACAGATAACAATTAATGAGCACTGCCTGCTATCAATAATAATTTTATGCACAAACTTTACCGTTGTATGTTTTCCTTATTACCCTATGTTTAGAGGTCACTGTATTGACCTGCTATGTTATTAGCTGTGTAGCTAGTTTTTGTATTGACCCAAGGATTGTTTCTGTAATGGTCGTGTACTACCCTGTACTCACCTGATATCTTGTTCATGTATGTTTAGTGTGACACCACGCCCCATGCCATGATGTGTTGGCGACACACGTGTGTTGAGACCTAAAACATTGTTCATTGTGTCACCACACCTATCCAGGTGTGTTGGTCTCACACATGTGTGTTGAGACCTTAAACATTGTTCATTGTGTCACCACACCTGTCCAGGTGTGTTGGTCTCACACATCTGTAGTGACCATGTATATGTTGTTTTCCATATCACTCAGATATGTTGGTCACCCATGTCTAGTGACAGTGTATATGTTATTCTCTATGTCACTCAGATGTGTGAGTCACACAGTGTTGAAACCTAAACATTGTTCATTGTATCACCAAACCTGCCCAGGTGTGTTGGTCACACCCATGTCTAGTGACCATGTATATGTTCTCTATGTCGCTCAGATGTGTTGGTAACACATGTGTTGAGACCTAAATCATGCTGTTGCCATGGCCAATACAAAGGTGTGATAATCACACACGAATGTGACAAGTACTAAATATGTGTCTAGAACTAGATGATGTTTGTTTATTGTGGCACTTAAGGCCTTGCCATGGAGCTATTGGCAGCATCTGCTGGCCACTTCTATAGAAATCTAGTACACTAACATTCTGTTTTGACCTGCATTTATTTTACTGCTCTTGTAACTAATTGCAAGTTTATGCATTTTTATTTTTTACTGCTGATGAATATGAGGGTTGAAGTTTTTTTTTGTTTTTTTTTTTTGAGATATGAGCAATTTATTTAAACTTAATTTTTACATTAATTTGTGTAAGCTACAAAATGTATACATTAAATGTAGAATTAGGCAATAAAATTTGTTTACTAATATCTCCTTGCTTCAGTGTTTTTATTTTCATTACTAAGGGAACTTGCTGTTTATGGCTTAAAAAGTCTTGTTGCTAACAATTTTTTTTAGTATAGCTACGTGGAATGGCTTAAAAATTTGAAAATGTTATATGTAGAAATAAATGCGTCTAACTAATACATTTATGTTGTATTATAAACTACCATTTTCCTCACCTTAAGATGTTAGAGAGTTAAATAAAAAATTTTCTTAAGGGAAACAAAACATTAAATTATTCTATGAATATTTTTTTCTGTTAAAAATAAACACTGGTTTTCCATATTAAAATAAAAAAAAAATATTGTTGCATTAATCTGCTACAATCTATAATCATTTTAATGGGTTTAAAATAAAACTGGATTTTGTTTCTCGTGATAGCTGTAGGTAAATGTTATAGGATGCCATGTTTTAGATGTGCTTTTCTTCTTCACAATTTCAGTGTCAAGACATTTCAATCATTTTGGCCGAGGCGATAAGACGCACACACAACGGAGAATCTGTCTCTTACTTGTTCAGCAACGTCCCTATGTAGCAGGCGTTGTTGACGTTCATTTTTTGGTGTGTTCATAAATTATGTACAGTTGAAACAAGAGGGACCATTTAATGTTGGCTTTGGGAGCTGAAATGTTTATTAACAGACTGACGTGACAATACGAAATGATTTTTCAATGATTTTTTTTCTTTTCTGCTTATGATGAGTGAATTTAAAAACATTTTTTTTTCTCACAATTTAATTATAGCTTTACGATAATTTTCTTTTATTGCAGTAAAAGAAATTGTTTTTACATCAAATATCCTGTTTGTCCATAGAAAAATCAAATAAAATATGTGTAACACATGTTCTTTAATGTAAAAACAAAATGTGTACTATGGGTCTATTTGCAAGTGTAATTGAGAGTTGTGAGTTATCTTCCCCTGATGTTGTGGGTTACTGGACCTGTTTGTAAGAGTTGAATGTTAATAGACAGGGGCTATTGTGTTCTACAGAAACTCAAGTATGTTTATTAAACCTTTTGTGTGCCAGGTTGTGCGTGTGTCTGTTCCTGTACCCAGGGTGCACGTGTGTGTGCTTTCTGCCACTTGTCTTGCTATTTTTATGTACATTTCTCTGAAGCTCCACATGCACAGCAACATACCAGCATATCAACTTAGATATTACCAGCAATTGTTTCTTTCTTTTTTTTTTTTTTAGAAGTTTTCAGTATATTTACATACATTAATATGAAGGAATATTTTATTATATTTGTTTACCTAAAAAAAAATCAGGAAGAATATTTTTTTAAACTTTTTTAAAAATTTTGCCTGTGGTGAAATAAATGTGTTGATAGATGATGAATTTTGTTCTGTATCTTTCAAGTGATTTTATTTTGTAATACTTCTTTATATATATCAATGCTGGTAGGAGTATGCTGATTAATACTACAATACGGATAGGGCAATACAGTACCCCATTCATTTTTTTAATCCCTCCCTGTTAATACCAGGATTAAGGTTAGAGTATGGGTCAGAGTTAAGGTCATTACATAACTTTTTTTAAAACTACTATCTTGAAGAACAGGTCAAAATCATGTGCTTAAAAAGTAATTGATAATTTTTCTCAGTATTAAAAATATTTGTCAACACCATTTAAAAAAATCTCAGATCTGGCAGTATCTCAACCAAATAAAATAAATATTTGATAAAATAAAGTTAAACAAAATTAGATATTTAAAAATGGTAGAATAGGTAGTTTTACTATGCATACTTTATAGATGGTGAATGAATATAGTATTGCACTGAACATTTTTCTGTGAATGCTTTTTAATATCTTAATAACTTAAATAACAGTCTTAAACATAAATGGTTAGGAAAAATTTGTTTAACTTTTATCAGACTAAAAAGTGATTATTGTGTGAAAAATTATGAAGTTCATAACATAAAATTTTGTTGACATGTGTCATTAGTTTAGAGTTGTAAACCTAATCAAAACATCTATCCACTTCACAAGTTCTTGTCTTGATAAGTTTAACATTATACATCAGGACCCTTGGAAAATCCATAAAAATGAATTTGTATAGTGTGCTAGTTTTTTTTTAAGGGGAGAGAATCACCCAGAATAAGGGAGAGAAACAAAAACAATCGCCAAAAAAAACAACTATCAGACATACGTCAAAGTTTGAAAGCGGTAATTATGATTCTACACTTAAAATACAACATAATTTGTGGCTTATGTGCAAAGCAACACATTTTCAAAAAGTTTATAATCTCACATTTTAATCAATATTTTACTCTTACACTACAATACTCTATTAAAAACAATGTTTTAAAAGTTAACCAAAATATTAAAACATTAAAAAATATTTGATTTAGTATTGAGCATTTATTGCACAGTTTGTTTGCCTTTTTTTTCGACTGTGAGGGTGATGCTGTCCCCTTAACAACCATTATCACTTAAAAATTGAGGTGCAAATTATTAAAACACGAGCCGACCCGCTGCATATCATACGCCGCTATATAGTTGTTTTATTTTCTACTTTTCAGTAATTCATAATTTGTGAATTCGACAGTACCAATGCTGCCACTGAAAATATTTGCTTTAAAACACTATCAGTAGGTCGTTAAGAACGATACTACCCCCACCCTCCTTTCCCACAACCCCTACCCTACACCCCCCCCCCCCCCCCGTGAAAGCAGCCTCCTCTTAGTTACCTCCCCTAAGTTTAAAATCGTTTCAAACTAAATTATCTGTCCTAATAGCCGTCACTAAACCCGGCTCTACGATTGTAAACATTTAGCGTGAACCACAGCTCACCAGACCATGTAGGGGTGGGGTGGTAGGGAGCGCGCTTACAGCTTGTTTTCTAGCGTCTCCAAGAAGAGAATTATATATATATATATATATAGATTGCTCAGAAGTTAATGAATACAATTTGCTACACTTCTTATATACAAAGGGTAATCTTATCTTATACTTAATTTTTAAAGGACTAATTATACTGTTGTCTGCTTTTAGTATTATAGTTGTACATTTTATAGGACATGTTGAAGTTCAACACGTAATTCAAAATAGAATCTGATACATAGCAGAGGTGTGACGTCATTTTAATGGTGATGGACTGTCTTTTTGTAACGATAAGGAAGGGGGGGTGGAGTTAACATCGTCTAAAAAACACGTGACGTCCATTATGAATGACCCCTAACACTCCAATAACTTATGTCCTAATTTAAACAGTGGATGTCATAGTCCATCATTCATATATCTGTAGAATTTTTTTGTAGTTAGGTGTTGGTCATGGTTGACCCAGGCTAGCATCAAGCTAGCAGCTATTAGAATGTATGTGGAACTACCCTAAGTACATTGTCAAAAAAAAAAAGACTCCCACCCACAAAACTTAAAATAACTAAGTTTTCATAATTAGTATTTTAAAAACGAAAATAATTTGATATCTCCCCCCCCCCTCACACCTACACTTTCAGTGTTTCTATAAGGCAATTCCCGAAACTATGTTTTCAATTAAATAAGAACAACTGTAGATTAAATCTACCAATGCTAAGGGACTTGTCCCTAAACACAAAAGGATAATTACCTTTACATAATCATTAACGAAAAAGCAAAGTGATTCTAAAATTATCAAACAATACATTTTTGGTAGAACCGAGTGCATAATAACAAGTTAAATGGCGAATTTTTTATTTTATTTTAATTTTTTTGCGTTGCTATACATGGCTTAATTTCCTTTTATTTAAAAAAAAAACCTTTGTAAATTTTATTATTGTTTTTGTTACAACTTACATGTTTATATTTTAAAACTTCGATCTCATCATTTACTACACGGAAAACTGGCACAAATATATATAGCTGTATCATCAAGAATTATAGTCTAGATTTTCTCTGTCTAACCACTCACC